GTGTGCTATATGTGCGTAAAATATTTTGTGGCAAAATCTTAACGTTGCTGTGAAATGAGCGGCCAATAGACGCTTTGGATATTTGGGTGTGAATAAATGACGACAAAATGTTAACAGCTTCTGCAGGCAGAATGTGAGCGACAGACAGAGAAAGAGAACGAAAATAAAAAGGCACTTTTTTACAGACGATGTACTTGATAGAGACTATTTTTGGCTTTTAAAGTCTTTCATCGTAAGGGATGACGATGGATTTGATCTCGTCTTTTGTTGTCCCTTTGACACATTTTCACCCGCCAAAAAATTCACACACACATACTCGACGCTGGTGTTTTCCAGTTATTTTATATATTGTAAATAAGTTATATATATACAACAGGTTGAATGAATAATGTCTCGCCATAAAGCAACAGACATCAAACATTTAGCACTTGAATGAGTTTTTTTTTTCTCACCACATCAAAACAACAAGAGAAAGAGGATTTTTTTTTTTATTTTGGCAAAGTATTTATGTGCCATGTTTTTCTTTGTACACTTTTTGAAAATGTACAAGAACATTTATCATGACGATGGTGTGTGCACTGATTTCGAATGTTTGCCTCTCTTGGCATTGGCCGAAGAAACCGAGAGAATTACAAATTACAAAAAATATTATTATTCGCTATAATTAAAAACTCATAAACGACAAAATGGCTCTTGATTTGTGTTCAAGTGGTCCAAATTATAAATCCGACACACCATTCTGGAACGTGATGTTGTGTTTGCGTGCGATGTAATGCCCTTTTACCTGCGGTTTTTTTCTTCATCACATCTCGTTTATAAGAAAAACGACAACAACAAATATACGAAAATGTATGTAGCGTAAATCAAAAACAAAACAAAATGAAACGAAAGATTGACGGTATTTCGTTGTGTGTTTAACTAAAACAACAACAACAATATGAGAGCATGCCATCATGTTTCGCAAAATTCGTATATACCATCTTTATATCTTTTGCTTCACCAGTTCACCATTTGCTATCAATTGGCATTTTCAATGTAAAATTTATTGCGCATTTTCTTTCGGATTCTTTGACCGAATTTATTTTTGCAATGGTTCGAAGTGTGATGCGAAATTGAGATCGGTGCATCATATCACTGGCAATGAGTGAATGTCTATATCTCTTTGTTGTCTGCATGTAGTGGTACAACGAATTTGAAAGTATAACAATGAAACATTCGAAAATGCAAAAATCACACAAACACAACGAAAATCACATAACAAACCAATACCCAGACAATTATCTACTTGTGTAATTGTTGTCCTGCTACATACAAAAAAAAACGAGTACTTGTGAGTGTAGCCGGTTTGGATTTTATGTGGCAGAATTCATCAATTTTTTTTTATTGAAAATACACCCATTTAAGAGTCGTTAATAAGCCGCTCCTCGCTCAAACCAATTCAATGTCTGTATGTTTGTATTACATTATTTGTAATCATAAATTTATTATGAAATCGAGATGAGGCGAACATAATATTGAATTTATGAAAAAAGAACCAAGCAATAGTGCTATGTACAGAAGCAATTGGAATCCAGAATATTGACTATTCGGTTCGCTATCAAAATCGCATGCTTTTCCAAGATTTTTGTATGAGTGAACACACCCAAATATGATTTGAATGCGCACTGTGTATTCAGTGTGTACACGTTTGTATCCAGTCTTCGCAGGCTTCGAGTTTAATACATGCGATATTCGCATACAGTCAAAGAATACCATAGTAACAGCCAAATACATGCAAGCTCGTAACACGCACACACATACACATCGGCCCCATGAATATAGCGAAGCATATTCGATATGCCAATGGATCTATACACAATGGATGTAGCGGCGAACCTTCTTGCTTTTAGAAGCAAAAATAAAGTACATCATTTCATTGGGGAGACATTTCATGTGCGCCCACATTCACACAAACTCAATTCATCAGTAGCATATATATATAGATAATACATTCTTGTAACAATGGTGCAAAAGTGTAGTTTTTCTCAATACTTGAACGACGTGAATAGCGGCTCCTTTTTGAGACAGCTGCAACCAATCAATTTTCACTGAAAATGAATGAAATACATGCAAATGCATCTTTCATTCCAGCGCTTCTATCGAAATTCTTTAAAGATCTATTAATTAAAAATGACAGTTTTCTTTTTATATATTCCACCCAATTCGTTTTTTTTTTTTTCATCGCTCTTCACGTCGCTAGATGCATATTCTGTTACTGGTCATTGGTATCAATTTGTAGCATCTCTCAACTTTCATAGATGTTATGCCATTTATCACTATCTCTCTTACACGTCCTCGCCCTCCGAAGAGGCTCTGAAGATGTTTTTAATGAAATGCTTTTCATTGCGTTATCTATACAAACAACGGATGATACTTAATTTCAAGTTAGAAAAATGTAAAAGCACTTTTCAGATCCACATTCAAATAAGTGATATACACACTTTGTTGGTTCTTTTGTTTTTAATCTCAATCTTCTGTGTCGCTTTTCTTTCGACATAAAACTTCTAACATGCATTTTTATTGACAAATTTTCATAAATTATTTGATAGTGTGTTGTTATTTATGTTGGAGACGATAGTAGTAGTAGTTGTCGTCGTCAGCAGCATAAAACAAATGCATCTCTTTTGGGCCCTCAATTTTTGTGTTGATTCAAAATTATAAGCTCCGACCGTCGTCGCAACTCTCTCGCTTTCTCTCTCAATCTCTCTAAACGGATGGGTTTGCTTGTGATCAAATCAATGCATATAAATTTTGTTGGTAGTATATCGCGCGAGTTTTCGTCCTATTCACATTAGATATTGCAGCGCGCACCATTGTATATGCCACAGCCAGTCGATGGCAATGTGATATATGTATTTATAACGAAACAAACTTCATATAATAAAGATTAATAAACAAAAGAAGCACACTTATAAAATGATAAAAACAACAAGCGGGAGAATCAACCGGGTAACACACACACACAGCACGTAACAAAAGAATTCATTTTTCGTTGTTTTCGTTCGTTGTTGTTGTTCAATTTAACTGGCGATTTGTTGCCGGTTTGACGAAACGATGTGTTACTGTTGCCATTGCTGCTGTTGTTCTTGATTCGCTTTGTTTCATTTCACTGCGGGCCTTGTTTACAATGTTTTCGTTCTGGATCGTATCGTCTTTGCTTTCATGTGTGTCTTCTGCGTTTTTTTCTTCTCTTCTCTTGTGTTTTTTTTTATTTCGTTTATATTATTATTATTATTGGCCGCCGTTGTCGCTTCACTTTAGTATATACAAAAACATATCTTTCTGCTATGCCATACTTCGTTGTGCTTGATACAATATTTGTATTATTAGTTTTGACGAGAAGTGCATATTTGGTATGTGGCAAATAATTTGTATGGCATTCGGTTCGCTTCTATAAATAGAGTACATTTCAATATATCTACATATTTACATCAATATGGGAATGGGGAAACGATAAATTTGGTATCACATTTGATCGGATCGTTTTTGATATGCGGCGCACAACTACTGAATTCTTTATTCAGTTTTTAAAACAAACAAATAAACATAGACACGGCAAACGATTCGTGTAATGCTTTTATCGCTTGCTTCTCATTATTTTTTTTCAATTTGTAATTCGAATAAGTCATTAATTTATATTTTATTCATCTAGCGCTTTGTCGTTTAAATTCAATTTTAGTCCACGGAATGTAACTCACTAATCATAATAATGCAATTAATATCTCACATTCCACAACATTGAGCGTCAATAGGCATAGCACATAACGTCAATATACAGATGAATATTATCATGAATGCAACAATTGTGAATACTTGCATCGAGCTCATTTTATCGGGAAAGAGACGTACAAAACCATGATGATGAAGAAAATATTGGACATAATAAATGCACAGTATGATCGCGTGCGCTCACTACTGCCAACACACGGTTGATACGAACAAACAAACAAAAATTCCAAATCCTGATTAAGGTTTCTCTACACTACATGTGTTTCTCTAGCGGTTTATGTTTTTCTTTTTGTTCGTTTTAAACGAATTTATAAATTGGATGTTAACAATTTAGTCCGTTTTATGTGATTAAAAATTTGATGGAATGTAGATCTTTCGCATGTAAATTACATGAGCATATTTATGAGTTCGCTCTTGAATGATTGACTTGGAATAAGAAATAAAAAAATTCAAACACGTTTTTGTTGGTGACGTTTCGTTCAACTCACCCGCCTCTCATCTATTGTGGTCACAATTGCAATCATCCGAGATATAATGAGCAATAAATATTAATCAAGTTTTAATTATAAACATACGTTCATTATAAAATAAAGTGAAAAGAGAATGAGAGAGTTACTCTGAATTGATGAAGAAATAAGAAGTTATCACATAATTTTTTGATTACAAGGCATCATATCGTGCGCCAGCAGCACAACACATTCAGTTCAGTGCATTTGCATTGTCTTGTTCCCATTCTTTCTGTAATGATCACATTTTGATTCAACCAACCATTCATTCATCGTTGTTAATTCGTGTTGATGCCAATAATTCGTTCAGTTCGTTTATTCCAACATTGTATATGATTCGCCTCTTTTTTTCGTGTAATTTGAGAGTTACATGAGAATAAGAACCGACCCCGATCGATTAATTAAATGCGTTTACATGGCGTATGCGTATGTGTGGTTTTTTTTTCTTCTTAAATTGTCATTGCAATCGTGGTTGTCATCGTTGCTGTTGCTGTTATTTGAACGTATGATCGAATAACAACAAAAACGATGTCTTCCATTCAATGGCATTTATTTTATTTACTTATTTTAGATTTATAAATACCAATTTCCTTTTAATTTGATTGGAATGTTGGTTATTGTTAATTCATTTGAAAATAATAATGTATGTCTATTCTATTTTTTATTCCCCTTCGTGTAAATCACCATCATCACCATTCACACTCACGAAATGATCGTGCGAAATAGAATGTCGACCATAAGATGAAATTCCGTTCGAAGAAAGGTCAGTTACCATTTATCGAATTGAATGGTGAAGAAATATCCGACTCGGTCATCATTATTAAGGAATTGGGCGCTAAATTCGACAAAGATTTGAATGCGGGTCTCACACAAGATCAACGCAACATCGCTCATGCCACCATATCGATGATTGAAAACCACTTGGTTTGGGTTTTGTTGTACTGGCGTATGAAAAACCCAGACCTGCTCATCAAAGGTTACAAGGTGAACTTACAACATGCACTTGGATGCCGTTTACCAAACAGCATCTTAAACTTCTTCTTCCGCTTTACATACGGACGCAGGGTAATTATCACATTTTCAATTTCTTTTTTATCATTATTATTTTGTTCAAATTGTAAATATGCTTATCAGCTACCTAATATTAGTATCAAAGAAAATATATTTGATTCTAATTCCCATTGGCTAGTTTGGTTTTTAAGTTGTACATTTTTGTATATATTTTTTTTTTGGTTGTTGGCTTAAACTCTATTCTGTTTTTAACGCGCTTTTTCTCCCATCCTATCCCATCCCCTCCCCATCACACCCTGATTATCGGCACGCTGTTGTCGCTTTTCCCTTATGCGAAATGAGAAATATCAAATTGTCAATGTTCCAAATAGTTCATCCATAAAACGAGCCAATATATATTTCGATCGTGACTAAATTGAAAGTTATTGATCATCATTTATCGATAGCACGTAAAAATAGCATGTTTTTTTCATTGCATTCATGCTGGATGGTAAACAAGTGAGTAATGTAATCGGTCTACATTCACGTTCGTGCACGCAGACCACACGTTTCAAGCACACATCAATTGCAATAACGCAAACAAAAATGAAATATAAATAAAATAAAAGACGAACACCAGAAATTCCAAGCATCGATTCATTTTTCGTCGAACTCATTATATTGGATTGATTTCGTCTATGCGTGCGATATTTGTATATACATAGATTGTGATTTTTTTTTCTCTTGTTGTTATTGTGTATTTTGGTTTGCCGTTTCGAAACGGTCAGCATTTATTGAATTGGTCGTCAAAGCGATTTTTATTTATTTTCCATTCGCTTGGTTTTAATATGCAATGTACACACTAAATGCTATCTATGTGTGTGTTCGAAACCAAATCGGAAGACACGCAATCGATCGAAAAATGCGCAAAAAATAATATCCAAAACAAAATAATATCGTTTTGTTTTTGGTGCCGTTGTGCTGTTGCCATTGCCGTTGTGTCTATATTTCATAAAAAAAAGATTATATTTCCTCTCGTTTATTGGTTTGTTTACATTTCATCGGCAAGACACACACAAAAAATACAGCCCGTTTTATTTCTGTCAAATCGTCGAATGAATTAATTAATGGATTTCATTTATTATTACATATTTTTCTGCTGACATGCTTAAGTTCGTGTGCGATTGCTCACACTGTTTACCCCACATTTTCATTGCCGAAGCAGCAGAAGAAAAAAAAAAATACACGAAACAATGTAAATTGGATTATTATTAGAACATTCCAAAGACAATTTTTGCATAACTTCTCACTTGCGATACATTCAAAAACAATAACAAAATACTGAAAGGGAGTAAGAGGAAGAGGTGGAGAGGATCTTTCAGCAATTTATTTGCAACTAATTTATAGTCATATACATTGAGCAGTTGAGCACATATATTACATTATTACAATATATATATAACTCTGGTTGTTGTTAATTCTTTTTTTCTCATCTTAATTACCGCACACATTCCAAAATGCAAGTATTGTCTTTGCCATGTGCGAATGCATGTGCTTTGAAATGCGGCTGCAAATTGCAAATCTTGTATTTGCATAAATACAAAATGCAGCAGTTTTGTTAGAATGTTTTATTATTGTTGATAGAGCAATCACAGTCAATAAATAAGCAAAATGCATGTTATTAAATATATCAGCATTCAGTTGCTGCACCCTCAATCAATTGTGTGCCGCAAACAGAAAACAAAAAGCCGAGCGAGTTAGCGAGCAAAGTGGCGAAACAAGCGTTTTCGCGATCGTGTAATATTTAAGTGCGCGCGCGCGCATATATTCATTTTCCAACTGCTTCGCCGTCTTGACTTAATCAATCTCAATTACTTGCAAACATCATTATTTCAAATATGCGAGTGCGAATAAACGACCGCAAACAATCAACTATTATGTTTGCATATTAAATTCCAAGTTTAAATGAATTATTGCCCTTGCGCACTCTCGCATCTCCGGACAACAAAAATTATGGTTTATATTTATATCTCTCAATTTTTTATTGATACGATCGCGCACTTGTACGCACACACATTAAAGCAATTCAATGCAACTGTTTGCAGTGCAACACTCGCTCTCACTCGCTTTCCATTCATTCACATTCAGTCGGTCGGTCTGTCTGTGGTGCGGTATAAAATGCGTTTTGTTATAATGCGTGGTGCTTTTTTATCTTCAATTATCACCATTTTATTCGAAGAATGAATTCACAATGTGTGCGTTTCACGATGAATCGAATGCCATATTGTCTCGCTGTTTACGCATGTTGAAGGTTTTGACCGGAATACATGTTATCCCTCAACTTAAATCGAATAAACACTAGAAATTATCTCATACAAAATTAACTCGGTTTTGATCTGCCTTACATTATATTGAAATATTTCACCTTCTTTTGAGACTCTCCCTCTCTCTCGGTCGCTCCTTTGTAAACCTCTCTAACCCTCTCACCCTTCACTCATTTTCTCACTCTCTCTCTCTCTCTGTCTCTTGCGTTGTATGCCAACCACCCCTTGTAACGTTATTTCTTGATATGGTTGTCTCATGTTCAGTGGTTCCAGGGCTGCAAGAGAGTGAAAGCACAAGGAATTGGTGTGCACAAACCGGAGGAAATCGAAGAATTTGGCAAAAACGATCTGAAAGTCTTGTCTGACATCCTAGCGGACAAACCATTCTACTTTGGTGATGAACCAACCATCGTAAGTACAACACTCATTCAAATCAATTTTTTCAATTTTCAAATATTCAATCGTGCATTCATTAAATCTCTAATATTCTTTTATTAAAAAACCAAAAAAATAGTTGGATGTCGTCTCGTTCGCTGTCTTGTCACAGTTCAATTTCATTTCGAAAGAAGTCAACTTCCCACTCAGAGATTACATCACTGAAATTTGCCCAAATTTGATCGGCCATGTATCACGAATCAAGGAACGATGCTTCCCAGACTGGGACGAAATTTGCTCCAAACTCGACTTGAACGCTCATTTGCCGAAACCAGAGTAAGTGTCATTTGTATATTTAACAAAAAAAAAAAACGAGAAAAAATGCAGCATAACAATAACGGAAATCAGTCTCCGTCAATGATTATCACATTTTAAACGATTGTTTTTTTTTTTCACCAAAATTCCAACAGACCGGAAATCAAAGAAGGCAAGGAAGCTGAAACCGAAAAGAAAGCCGAACAGGAAAACAATGAATCGGATCAAATCGAAAAAGAGCTAGAAAAAGATAAGGTACGCGATAAATAATGAAAAAAAAAGAAAAGAAATTCTTTTACATTATCACAACTGTTATCAAATTTGTTATTTTAAATTATCAGAATTATCGTACAATTTGTTAATGGAGTACGTCTCTTTTTCCTTCCTGATAAATTCTTTAGGTCGAAGAGAAGGAGAAAGAGAACATAGAGGAAAACAAGGAAAAGGAGGAAGCTAAATAAGCGCATTGACATTGAAACAGAAGAAGAAACACCGAGAACAAGCATGAATAAAACAAAAAATAGAAATTTACAACAGTAAAAACGTTATCCGAATACATTTAAACTATCTAAAAACAAAAAAAAGCTAAAACATCAAAAAAAGTAATAAGGAAAACACAGAAATTACTCAAATTTTATAGATACCATTTTTTTGTGCGAAACAAAAATGAAATCGCTACATTTTCTAGTATGTAAAATAACAAAACAAACATAAAACGTGAATCGCGCGCGACCGATAAAAAAAAATAACAACAACAACCGCAACAACACACAGTAATAAAACAAAATGACATCTTTCTTACGAAAAACAGTAAATTTTACAAGAACAGACCAAACAATTTTACGAAAATCGAATCTGTATGGAAACAATTTATATTTGGCATAAAAGAAATGGGCAGAGCTATGAAACAAACCAACAACAAGAAAAAAAATGCAAGCTTGATTCAACATTAAGATATTACAAGAAAAAAAAATTAATATTATACTCATACTCATTTAATAGATACAAAGTAAAGAAAAAAAAAATCATAAACAAGTAAACTAAAAACGCGAATCAAACGAAAAAAAAAAAGCGAACAAACATATAAACATACTACAGACACTCATCTCTTTTTGCAATAAATACATTCTTTTATTATGTTGCATGACAATTAGTGAATGGCATACAATTCCACAATAAAAATGATTATGACAAGCGTAAAGCAGCGTTCAGTTTCTTTCACAAATTCCAAGCACATGCGTTTCTCTTTTATTTAATTTATTTTTTTTCTTTCTGTTTCGGGTGTGATTATTTGCTTGTCGTAAATTTGTTTTGATGCATTATTTTTTATGCGCAATTCTGCCATCTCTCTTACTCTAAATCGTAAGTCTGATTGTATGGAAATTGATCAATCATTTTCCGTCTTTGTGTCGCCCGTTTTAACTTGCGACATACAAGCACACACATACACACAATACCACCGATAGCATCAAAATAATATATAATTCAATCAATTGCGATATAATATTGCTATTCTTCTTCAACGGTGCTATTGTTGTTTGCGTCCGTGGCTTATATCATCTATAGATCATGCATTTGTATATTCATTTAATTGTGTTTCAAGTGCTTTGATCACAAAATGCTTCACACTCTATCAAGGTCGCCGAAATTCTATACGCACACACACACACTTGCACTTTCAACGGATGAAAGAATATTTTTTATCAAACCGAAAATGATCAACCGCTTTTATTTGAAAAAAAAAAAAAAAAAATGAAACGAACAATCGTGTGATAGAAATAACAACAAGCACAAAAACAACCAACTCAATGGATTTTACGGCGCAATAGAGCTAAATAACAACAAAAAAAGTCATAACCAATACGCACCTAAACGAACATCGTGTCGAATCAGGGGAGAAATTTAGTAACAACAACAGATAAACCATACAAATTTACACATTACACTCTCGCAGAACAGAAACAAACTAAATTAAATCGACATTGTTTTTATATTTCTTTCAAAAAAAACTGTTCGAAGAATAAAAATAATGCACTGAGAATTTTCGATCTAGAGACTATTTGTAGCAAATAGATTGTAGTAACACCAGAACCATCGATGATGTTAGGATTAAATAATAAAAAAAGGCGCATCTAACTTCCGCTTCGAATCGGATCATTTTTTTTACTCATTTAAAACAAAAAAAAAAATCATTCACACTCATCATACGTCAAGCGACTGCACAAACGATATAAACGAGAAATCAAAGCATTAAACATCATTTTTGTACACCATCATGTTTTTCTCCACCTATTTTATATTTGAAAGAAAAAAGTAAACCTTTTTTACGAAGAAATAAAAGAATGGAAATACAACAATGGACATCTAACTTTAAAAAACAAAGAAAAAAAAAACATTAGTTTGCAAAAAAAAAAGTAAGAAGAAAATTCGCAACAAAACAGTATAGAAAAATGATACAAAACACAAAGAAAAAATTATTATGAATATATTATTAAATTAGTAAAACCCGTGTAATATTAATTTAAAAAGAAAGAAAAACAACAAGCATCAAGAGAAAAAACGGACAAAAAAAATATTGAATAAAAAAACTGCAGTGTTTTTTGCATTTAAATTGTATTTGTATATCGCTTTATATAAAATGAAACCAATGTTTTTCGTCAATGTATACCGCCTGCATTCATTTTTTTTAATTATAATTTTTCATTTGTAATTTTTTTTCTTTTCGAATTTTTTTAATGCATTAAGGAATAATACAACAAACAAAAAAAATTTAAAAAAACAACAACAATTTGTACTATTTTTAGAAGTATTAATGGAAAAATTGTCAATATCGACAAAAATTTATCGATTATGTGTAAAAAAAACCATTTAATACGTCAGTAGCTCTCTTTTTTTATATGATATGGAAATATATAGAGAAAATAAAAAAAAACCAATTTGCAATTTCTTTATGTATTAACCATACAAAAAAAACGAACAATCAAGAGAAATGTTGTGTTTAAAGTTTTGCTTTTAGCCCGGTGTGTTGCCTTTTTTAAGGGGTAATTTAAACAAATAAAATGCTTTTTTTAATTATTCAAATCCCGAATGCTCTCTTACAACACATATTTTTGTTGGGCCTAGTTTAAATACACCATATAAAATGCTATTTTTTTTTTAATTCTAATGCTCACTAAAAAAAATCGTTAAAGTGAGAGAAAGAGAAAAGGCTACCGCTTTCAGGCAGCGCTTCATAATTTCTCTTTCCATTTATTGTATGTAATCGAAAGAACAAAAAAATACTCATTTTTACGAAGAAGAAAAAAACAACCATTTCTTATTTCTTTTGTTTTAGTTTTTCTTTCGAATGTGAATGTGCAATTTTCGTACGTGAATTAATATGTAGCTATATTTCTAACGATAAACGAGTATCGAGATGACGAAGATCACGATGTAAAGAAAACACACTAAAATAGTGAATTATACAATTTTTGGCATTGAAATCGGAGATGCTATAAAAGCACATATTATCGGCCATACGTACGATTTACAGAGCTAAAGTGAAGGAAAACCGCCAACCAAGATATAAACCAATCAAAACAAGTGTTCATGTTTGCCATTTTTAAATGGCCGTTTTTGTCGCCGTTTATATGTAATTCAGTATTTTTTTGTCCTCTAAATGTTTTTTTCGCTAAACGATATTCACTATCCATTTTCAATTCTATTGTTTATGCAAAATCATATTCAGTAATGGCATTCGTAAATGAATGGTGAAGACAAACAACATAAAATCAAATAAATTTAGCTACAACAAAAAACAAAAATATCTACTAAGATGAAAAAGAGAAATGAAAGAGAACAAGGGGAGACAGAAAGGTTTATGTTGACCCAAGGGAAAAGAAATCGAGAAAACGAACAACAAGAAAAAAAAAGAAGAAGAATATTTAAGTAAATTTATTATTGAGATATAGCCAACCGTTAACCAAAAACAAAAGAAACACAAAAAAATCTAAATTTAATGAAAAAAAAAAAACAAAAATTGATTTTTTCGTATGGACGCAAGGAAATGATATATGGAAGGAAAATCGTATGAAATTTGAAATGTCATATTTCACATACACACAGAAATTTCAAACAAACAAACATATGATTGAAAAGGATGGCACAAATTTGAAAAAGGATAATATGAGATTTAGAGCATAAGTCCATTTTATAAATAATTCTATTCTATATTGCCAGTATGAAACAAAAAAACAAAATGTATGTTTATGTACCACATAAAAATTGAAAGTGACAAAAAAAAAACTAGTATCAGCGATGTAATCATTTTTACCCTTTTTGAACATTCGAAACGAACAATTTTTCGCTAGCTTTTTTATATACAAACACACGCTGCCGCGATCTATGCTTCGAATTAAAACAAAACAAAAAAACAAAAATTCTTGACCTTCGAACCGAAAATGAAACGAAACAAAAGAGAAAAAACAAATTTTTTTTTCGCTAAACTATTTCATTTCTTACGAAACGATTTTTATTTGTGTATTCAAAAAGGTCCAATTTAGAAAAAAACTAACTTTTTTACTTGATCAATTCTCTGATTTGACATCTTAATCGTAAGAAATTATTTTAGCGTCAAATCGAATTTATTCAAATTAATTTTTTTTTCGTCCCCATACACACTCACACACACACAGATAAACACACATAGTCAAAATATCTAGCCAATTAGACAAAGCCTAGAATCTTATTATTTTCTCTATCTCTTTCTCTATATCGTTGTGAATGGTTGATAATTATGTTTCATCATCAAAGTGTAATAATTCATAATATGTAATATGTAATAACACCGATAGTTTGCCTCCTTATTTTTCTTTTTTTTTTACTTCAAAACACCTTTTTTATTATTTCTTTTATTATCTAGTTTTTTTTTTTCATTTACTTTGAAAATATACATTTACGATAAACCGCACTGTTTTCTTTTTCATTCAATTTGTGATATATCCACACACAAACATATGTTGTGTTTATGTCTGAATGTAACGATGCATGTACGTGTACAAAAGAAATCCACAACAGGTTTGCTTACTTATCAATGAAGATGGACAACAAAAGTATGAATGAAAGAATTCAGCAAATTCAAGTTTAAAATAGCTCACTGTAAGTATATATAGAAAAGAAATTAATTTTCACTTTACTTTACTTTATAGCCAAAGCGACTTGCTTTCGATAATTCACCGGATGTCTTGTTCGGCTGAAACTGGAAAGGAAAAAAAAAACCAAATGTGTTTCTTTTTCTTCGCTTTCTTCATTAATTGAAAAAGTTGATGGTTTTTATTATTTCTAAAATAAAATGTTTCTTAAATAACAGTCATATGAAGGAGACACTGGAAGAATTCCATAATTTAAAAGAAGACACAATTTTTTTTAAATATTTATATTTGTACGTTCGTCATTTGAATCGAAGTGTGTTTCATGTACGGTGGCCTTGTGAACGGTTATATTCGAACTATTTGTACTTGAACTGACAATATTTTGTGGCATATTTGAGTTTATTTGTAGTTTCGTTGGATCGCTTGGTTTCAAAGGTACACGTAATTTGGAATTTTTGAAATTGGTTGCACCTCCAACTAAGGTTGACCGAACGGTTGGCATTTTATTTGGAGTTGTCTGTAGATTCTTGGCCAATAATGATTTTATTCGGGCCGACACAAGACTTGAAGTTTTTGGTGTACGATGGTTAAACTGTAGTGTTGGAGTTTTTGATTCATTTTTTGATTCATTATCAACCATCTCTTCCAAATCAGTATCGGATTCTTCTTCGTCTTCGCCAATTTCGTCTTCGCCAATTTCGTCGTCACCATTTCCATTCGTTTTTCCATTGGTCTTGTGAATTTCAACGGATTTTAGAGTGTCACACGATGAACTTGATCGATTTTCAAAACATGTATTTTGGAAAAAACCATTTGTACCGAGTGGATTAGCTGGTGTCATATGTTTATCAATTGCTGTACTGGCATACGAAACGTCATTATGATCAAGATCACTTTTTATTGAGGAATCATCATCGCCGCCACCTTCGTCATCATCATCCTCGTTGTATAAAGTGAATCGTTGTTTGGCAAGTTGGTCGGTACTTTGATAGAATGATGATGACGTTGATGGTGCCGATTCAAGCGGTTCAATGATCGAAGCGCTCAATAATTTTGTAATATTTTTCATTTCAATGGAAATGTTATCGAAATCATTTGGATAATGATTAAATGTGCGATAATCCCTTAAATCGTCAATGCTATTTGATGTTAATGTACTGCTAAAATTTGGTGGATACTTTAAAAATGAATTTTCGACCTTTTGTCGTTCACGCAATTCGTTCATGGTTCGTTCTTTAAATTTTTGCCGCGATGCACGTTTCATTTGAATGATTTCCTTTGTTTTATTTGTAAAATCTTCTAAACTTTCTGCATCTGAGAGTGTGCTGTGTGTTGTGTCACCAAGTTGTTCTCGGAAATCCAATGAATATTGCTTAGACGATGATTTTTGACCCGATTCACTGGTATCGGTGCTATGTTGCATCGAATTTGATTTAAATGTCTCTGTATCAGTCATCGTATGATGAATTATGGCTTCGTGTTGTTCTTTATTATTCAATAAATCAAAACTTCGATGTAAATTCCCTTTGCCGTTCTGATCCAATTTCATCTCGGTGGTTTTTCGATTTTCCAAAAATTCCAAACTTCGGCAACGCGACAACGTATTGTTATTCATCTCATCTTTGTTCATATTCTTTGACAGTTGTGGCAAAACAGTTGCACGCAATGGATCACTTCTCTTTGGCCAATAGTCAAAACCATGGTTTTCACGATGTTCAGCCAATATCGATCTGGGATGAGAAATAAAAAAAAAAAACATTTATTATCAAAGATCTTTTTTTTTTGCCGTCGGTTCAATCATAATATTCGTCTTACCTGGCAATCCTTTGAATTTTATCGTCGGCATTTTTGCTGAAATCTTGAACTTTTCCATCAAGTTTTGCGGTTGCTTTAAGCATGTATTTTTTGAAGCTACGTTTATTTTGATTAATTTTCTGTTCGATATGATTGAAAAATGGTCCACAATAGCATGTATTACCAATTCCAACGGGTCCTTTCCGAATATTACCCGCCAAATCTAAATAGTATTGTTCGCCACATTTCAATGGATCTTTCGGAAATGTTTCCAATTTTGGCGATGGAAATGATCTTGGATCGGGAAAATAATGGCAACCATATGGTGACCATATTTTTGAATTAGTCGCATTCGGATCGTGATGATGACATCGATGTTCGTTCATTACAGAATTTTTCGGTTTGTTTTTATCACTGTCCGATGTATTATTGCGTCCACTACCCGAACTGCAGCGGTGTTGTTGTTGTTGTTGATTTTTTTGTTTGATTGATCGACCGTCGACATCATCGCTGGTGCTTTTATTTACGGTTGGCGGTGAATTGAGTATTTCAATAATTGGCTTTAAATTCTTTCTTATCGCAATGTCGCGTGGTGTTTCACCTTGTGCATTTCGCAATAACAGTGCACTCGTACCGCAAACTTCGTATAGAATGCGCGTCAATTTTCGTCTGCCCATCGCACAAGCAATATGCAATGGTGTATCAAAATTCAAATTAACACACATCGGATTACATTTTGCTGATATAAGAATTCTTGTTGCTCCTGCATGTCCGTAACGACACGACGTATGCAACGGTGTATCGCCATACTATACATGTATACATATAAACGAACAACACACAATGTGTTTAATTAGTTTAATCATTTCCAGTGATTTTAACATCATTAAAGCAAATAATAATTGCCATTTTACTTACATTATTTTTCGTATCGGGATTGGCGCCAGCCAGTAGAATTTCACGGCAGCTTTGATTATGGCCATTTTGTGCGGCCAAGTGTAATGGTGAAAAACCGCCAACATTCGGTGTATTCAGATAATTTTGACTTTTCCATTCGTCTTCGACGTGTTTAACACTTTTTGCCTTTTTACCAAACTTTTTATTTGACGAATGTGACGTATGTTGTAGCGTACACAGAAGCTTTACACAACGACTGTATCCACGCCAGGCGGCTTCATGTAACGCTGTATTCCCATGCTAAACATTTTTTGAACGAGAAACAAACAAAATCAAATCATTCAAAGATATTTGGAATTTTTTGTTTTGAAATTGTGGCACAGGAAAATTGTTGAAAAATTATTGCTCACTTTGTTGTCTTTGGCAAAACGATCGACACCATTTACAAGTAAAACCTCAACGGCTGCGTCGTCACCAGCAATTGAAGCCTGATGCAATGGTGAATATGATGTTTCTGATTTTAAGTGTTTGTCTTCCTCTTGAATTCTCTTCGGCGAAGAGCTCTTCAGCATTTCTATCAAATGTAAATAGTTTAAGAGAAACGAAAAAAAAAGCCGACAATTTCAAATGAAATACAATTTAATTCGACGGTCTTTAATTTAGCAAAGAGTTTAAATCATTTAATGTCATCAATCATGCAATCATGGCTTTCTTCTGAACACGCACACTCAAACAACGAAAATGAATTGTGTCAGCATTTCTAAGTTCGCATACTAAAAAAGAAGAATAAAATGTGCACCAAGGTGCGTACAGTGTATATCTTAACCAACACGGTTGATCACTTGACTGGATCATAAAATCCGTATAATTATGGTGAAAATGTTAAATGATCATTTACGCAGTTATTTAAATTTACTTTCATTTTAGTACAGGAATTTCTCTCCCTACCACACTCGGTCGTCATTATTATTATTATTGTTGTTATCACCACATTGTATACATTGTACGTCAATTGCATGTCTCTCTTTCTTTATTCGCATTGCAATTAAAATGGGGCAAACAAATTAAATCGCGTTGATCTCTTCTTGACGAGCAATTTGCTTATTTACTTCTCTTTTTTTGTTCGTTTGCATTTTTTTATCCATTAGCCATGAAGAGAAGCTAAAGCAAACCGATTAAAACTGTACAGAGCGATTAAACCCAAAACTATGCAGTGCATTCTTCGCTTTAAAACTCTTCTATGTACACTTTGGTCTACTCACTTTTTCCGATTATTTTTGTGTTGCAGTCTGTCTTCTTGTCAGCAGCAGTCTTGTTAGAAATTTTACTCTTTACGATCGAAAATTCTTTTCAGCACCGAATGGTTCCGAATTAAATTCGCATATACAAATCACATAAACTACTGTTAAATAAACAATACATTCTTAAATGTGGCATTTCTTTTTCGTTGTTATTGTTAATCACCAACAAACAAAAAAAATTCCATTTGTATTCGAATACAATCCGTTTATTGAACTATGTTAAACAATGATGCTGAACGGAATTGATCGATGCAGAATGCATAACTGTTTAATGTGACGCGATCGCTACGCAATTTTTTGATAAACTAAAGCACTTCAATAATCCATAATGCAAATTCCGCACGTAAAATGTTCACAACTCAGTTTTTGTTTCTTTCGTATTGAAAAATACCACAGTTACAGCGGCAGCGGCACCAAAAAATTTATGTATTTAATGAAAAAGACGAGAAAAAAAACGCTGAAAATGAAAATATACACACGGCACGTCGAAAATTGTGATTAAGAAAGAACGAGAAACAAAAACGCAAACACCACCGAAAAAAAGTACACAAAATGCGCGCGCAAGCTATGGTTAGAGCAAGAGAGAAAGAATCAATAACATGAGCAACAGCGGTAACTATCAAATCGCGCCGAACCAACAATCGATTTTGGTTGCCTTCAATTTCAATGTCTCTTTAAACACTGACTCTCAGCAAATATAAGCGCATTCTAAAACAATAAGAAAATACGATCAAATGTCTTGCGTACGCGTTGTCCGCGCTCTCAAAAAAAAAAAACCAACAACCAAACACTTAAATGAAACCGAATGAACGAAACAATCAAACGTAAGCAAGCAGCTTAGCAATAATGAAAAAAGCGTACCTTTGTATACGGCGCATACACTGGACTGATCGAAAGGTACCGAAGAAGTCGATGAAACGACCGAAACCATGAAGAATATTCAAACATTCAACAACAGAATAAAACTCAACTCCAATGTAATGAAGTGTGTGGTGATCGCATCGTGAAGGAGACAGAAAGAACGACCGCAACCATGTCAAGCATGATGAACAGACAGAGTTAAACAACCACATTTCATGGCGCAACGAATTATATAGCAGCGATATCGAATGAAATGGAACAGAAACAGCAACCATTGTACATACACAGACGATAGGTAAACGATATGCGAGCTCACGATCGTTCCTTTGCTTGCTTGAGCGCACCTTCATTTTCTTCTCGTTTTTCTTTTTGTTTTTGCTTTTCGCCTTTACCTTTTGTGCCTCGCGCGCGCGCGCGCGATCTTATACGATCACACGAGATGTGTTGACCTATTCACATTCAAACAATGTAAGTTGTCTCTGATGTCGACGTGCGTATCGCCGATGATTGTTTCATCGTCATCGTCGTGTGGTTTTTCTTTCTTTAATTTTATGTTTGCTTATTCGCTTCGTTCGCTTTTCGATTTTTTTCCATAAATTTCGATTTTCGAACTACATTGCGATGTGTATGCGTTTCTTTTTGCGTTTTCGCTTCATTTTATTTTTCTTTGCCACCAATTTGTGTTTTTTTCATTGTTTCATGTCAAACAAACAATGGAAATGAAATATAAAGACGAAGAAGACAAAACAAATAAACAAACTACACTTGTTTCATTGTATGCTTTACGTTAAACCGTTTCGCTGAAAATATCAGTTCTTATTGACAAGCGATGTGAACCGTTTTTATCCGGCTGAACTTAAAAAAAAAACTCCATACAATCCAATTTGATTCAATGGCTGAATACACATCCGTCACAAACATTGCCAAGTCGACAAAATCTTGAACGATTTTAATGGCGGGAAAATGATTGAATTGAATAAAAAAAAAATTGAAGAAATATTGCAATGTGTACCAATGTATCTCGATGCACCGATTCTTTTGATTTAAATTATTCAATCTTTTGCTGTGAACAAGCCTTAACGCATTATGTCAAGAGTGTGTGTTGTGCGTTCTTTACATGCATACCGGTCTATCATGCACACGTGACATTGTTTATATTTAAAAAAAATACTTATTCAATGAACATTTATTGAAACTCTCCGATGGCACTAAGTTATTCGATCCTGTTATTAAAATAACCATTTTTTAATTTATATTTCATCTATCAAATGTTAAGTAAAACCAGTGATTTATGTCAAACAAAGCACGTGCTTTATGATGGGAATCATTTAGCCCCTTCAAATGACTCCCCGTTAAAATATAAAGTGATAGCAAAATGTAAAACAACCAAAGCTAGAGTTGGCGTAATGACATTGCGGCACGGTGATGTTGATACGCCAGTCGGCACACAGGTTTGTTTCAATGCACAATCAATTTGCGTGGGTTTTTTTCCGCTGAATTTTGAATTAAAATGTCTACATTGAATGCATTTATTGTAGGGTACTTTAAAAGGAACATTGCCAAATCAACTATATAACCTGGTCTGTCGAATTATTTTGGCCAATACAGACCATTTGGGCCATAGACCGATGTGTCATTGTTTTTCTTTCCCGTTCTTCGTTATGTATCACTTCAAAATAATAAATTACGCAATTTCCCATATAGGGTATCGAAATTCTCGATAAAATCGGTGATTTACACAATTTTATGGGCTGGAATCGAAATTTGTTGACCGATTCCGGTGGCTTTCAAATGGTATCACTTTTGAAATTGGCTGAAATTGATGAGAATGGTGTCAATTTTTAATTCGCCATATGATAGAAATTCAATGCTATTAACACCAGAACATTCTACACAAATTCAAAATTCAATTGGCGCTGACATCATGATGCAATTGGATGACGTCGTTAAAACAATAATAACGGGACCAAGAGTTGAAGAGGCTATGCACCGGTTTGTATTGATTTCATTTCGATTAAAAATCTTCAAAAATCTTGGAAAATGCACCTTAAAACTTTGAATTTAATATTCGAATTTCTTCGTTGACAGAACGGTTCGTTGGCTAGATAGATGTATTGGGGCAAACAAGCGAGATGATGTCCAAAGCATTTTCCCAATTTTTCAAGATGGGCTCAGTGAGAGTCTACGCGAAATTTAGTTCAAATTTAATGAGAGTTTTTTTTCAGTGGTGGCGAATGTAAAGATGATTTCTGTCGTATAGTAAACAAATGCACCGATTTATTGCCCGAGGATAAGCCTCGATATTTGATGGGTAAATTGCTAAAATTACTATTCCATTACTATTCCATTACATAAGAATTCTTCTGATCATCCTTAGGTATTGGGTACTCAGCCGATTTGGTTGTTTGTGTTGCACTTGGAATCGATATGTTTGATTGTGTATTTCCAACACGGACAGCAGTGCGTAACATACAAATTTTGTTCAATGCTCAATTTTAATCATGGGTTTAATGTCATTTCGATTACAGAGGTTTGAAGTTGCATTAGTTCGTGATGGACACAACCACAATTCAAAGACGATTTACGTCCAATTGATGAGGACTGTGAGTGCAGCACATACAAACATTATACGCGTCCATATTTAAATCATGTGGTTCGATTTGAATCAATTGGTTCGACTCTTGCATATCAGGTAAATAAAATCACTTCATTGAAGACAGCAAAGTCTTTTAATTCGTTTGCATTTCTGGTTCATTGAATTTCAGTTGCGTTTGATGCGAGACATTCGAGAGAGCATTATGGAAAATCGTTTTCCACAATTTATCCGAACATTTATGGACCGATATTTTCATTCAAAGCCAATACCCGACTGGATAAAAACCGCACTATCCAAAGTGAATATTCAACTTTAAAGCAGGCACAAAAGTTCTAAATTTATAATTAGAATACCTCATTAGATCAATTTTTTCTATTTATAATTTATTTGAATTGTATTTTATTTTTAAATTTAGTTCAATTGGATTTGACTTCTGTTTTTTAATCAACCAAAATAAATAAACTTTGACACATCAACAAACTGAAAGTGTTTTGTAAAAGATCGTCAGTGTCCGTCTCCGATAGGGACAACGATCGTTTTGAATACAAAATTTGTTATTGTTACACCTGTCTACCGAATATACCTGTTGTTTATGACAATTTATATGTGTATTTGTGAACGCTGTCTTCATTCTTAAAACTGTTGGTTACCATAGATACCTGATATTTGAAAGAAATCACAAACAAAGTTTCGTCAAAACAGCGTTTTTTCTATTCTTTTTATCACTTGTCTTGTAAACCATTTTGACATTGGCAACAAACAAAAAATCATGTTGGATTATAATTTAATTTAATTTCAATAAGACGCAGCCAATTGATACAAAGTTGTGACTAAAACTTAAAAATGTCCAACGGAAAGGTAGGCAAACTCTTCATTTTTCTTGTTTAATTTTTTATGTCACCAAGTGAAATTGATTCCAGATATTATTTCGATTGGATTTTCCACACGGACCAGGCACCGTACATTTTACATTTCAAACAGGAAGCTCAGGAAATCATCTTGTAACAACCGGCTCCGATGGAACTGTTGCAATTTACAATCGTCAAGGCCAACTTCAAGATCGAATTGTATTACAAGCGTAAGTTGGGTTGTGCACCATCAATGTTCGAATGCTTTTCAATTTGATCTTTTGTCATTTTAAAGATTGTGCACCGGTTTGGCATGGGATCATGAAGGTGATATATTGAGTATCATAACGAATAGTTCGTCTCAGGTAAAATTCAATTAACATTTGATTCGATCAACAATGAACATACGTGGTTGACTCATTTTGATGACACGCATACATAAATAATGTGTAACGTACAATAAAAGAAAAAAAATCAATAAATTATATTTCTGATTGCTTACTTGGAATCAATTGTAGATAATTCTATGGGATATAAACATACGTCAAAAGCATATCGTCGATACAGGCTTACGAGATTCTCTGTCATGCATTATATGGTCGAAAACATCGCAAATATTGGCGGTCGCCTCAACACGAGGAAATCTTGCCATTTACAATCATCAAACAACAAAGTAATTGCCATTTATATGGCACTTGGTATTTATCAATATTAAAGTGCATTTTTAATTTCAGACGAACGCCAATATTGGGTAAACATTCGAAGCGTATAACATGCGGTGCATGGTCAAGAGATAATATATTGGCACTTGGATCCGAGGATAAAACATTCTCATTGAGCTCTGAAGACGGTGATTCGTTGCGTGTTATTCAATTACGAGACATTCCAAGTGATATGTGCTTTGCCGAAATAAAAACCGATGAACGTGTACCCGGCGAAAATACAGTCAGTCTTTTTTTTTTCTTCTTCAATTTACATATCAGTTCCCTATATTTACTCAGGAGTAATTTTTATTGCATTCAAATTCAGATTAGTATGATAATTGGTAAAAAGACGCTGTACTTATATCATTTGCCGGAGCCCGATTCGCCGGCCGAGCTTGGATTTCAGCATAAATATGGAAATTTATTGCAACATAAATGGTTCGGCGATGGATATATTCTATTGGGATTTTCACAGGGAAATGTGGTGGCTATATCAACGCATCCGAAAGAAGTTGGCCAAGAGCTATGGCAAATTCGAAATCATCGAGATTCGTTGAGCGCAATTGCCGTTTCAAAGGCATTAGAACAGATTGCGTCATCCGGCGATGATAAGTATGATAGATTTGTCAATATTTATTAAAAAATGTATGATCTTTATTTTCAACATTTCATACACAGAATTAAAATCCATGCAATCAGTAATCTACAAGAGACGGTTAGCATTCTCACCGTTCCCGATCAGTCGGGCGTTAAAGCGATGGATTGGAGTGTTGACGGTCAATTGATTGCAACATCAACGACACAAGGATCGGTTTATGTGTTTGTTACAAAAATGTCTGTTTTGAGTACCGTTTCCTTTCCACGAATTGCAATTCTAAGTAGCTTGGCCGAGGTTTCCATTTATAATTATTCATTGGACAAAATTAAAACTCCACATTGTGTTATTCCGCTCGAAATTGAACCGTCGGTCATTGCGGTTGGTCCATTTCATTTTGCATGTGGCATGAACAATCATGCATGGTTCTATGACCTCAGTCGACCCATTGATGATGCACCGATATCTTTGGGGGATAAAGAGTACATTGCCGAAATTAATGATCTTAAATTAAATGCCAAATATTGTGCAGCACTTATTGGTGGACGAGTCTCATTACATCCCGTTAGTACTAGTATTTTTTATCATTGATTTCGTAACAAACATTTTTTTTAATTGATGATTTCTGATTAGATTCCGCCAAATACCTCAATAATGAAAGATCAACAAGCTAGAATGTTTCCCGAAAATACACATGGCATGCAAGAATCTGTGATAACTTCAATTCTTCTAACATCCGAATTTCTTATCTTCTCCAATGATGTGCGTGCGATATAATACCCATTAACACACAAATCAGATCATGTAGTAATTCATTTTCTCTTTTCGTTTTCCACTCACAGCTCGGTCACTTGGTATTCTTTTCACTGGAATTTTGGACTAACGTTGTTACGTATCGTCACACAATGGGCATTCGAAACATATATTCCGATGTGGATGGAACGAAAATCATATTTGTTGATGACCATAATCAAGGATATATCTTTTGTCCGGTGAGTTGAAAATTTGAAATCGAATTCGGTTCCACTCAAACCATAATCATTCAATTGTATTGTATCGTGTTTTTTAGTCAGATGAAGATGCAGTCATGATACCAAATTTTCCAAAAAATTGTAGCAACATTTTGTGGGATTCATTGCCGAGCCGAACATTTGTTGTATTCGAGAGTAAATTGTGTACAACATATGTCTATTCAAAATACTCAATAAACAGTGAGTTGTTTTTTTATACATTTAGTTTTTTCGTATCATTCAGTCAGTAAGTGCCGCCTTAAGATTTTCGGTTTATTGACACCTGCGCAGTGCTGTGATAAAATGGCACTACTTACTACTGACCGGTACGATATCTGCAAATATTTTAAATTAAAAGAAATTTATCATCAATTCAGATAAACATGTGATGAAAATAAGCGAAACACCGATACTATCGGATCAAACGCCATTGGTACTGTATGACAGTGAATTGTGTTTGGCCACAAGCGATGGTAGTTTGTCAACAATAGTATTGACGTCGCACTTGAATTTACCATCGATCGAAACAACGGATCAACTTAAAATGTTGATTGATATGAGAAGATTCGATGATGCATGGCATTTATGTAAAACAATGAATCGAACGGATGTATGGCAAGATTTGGGCAAAGCCGCAATTGCCGAGCTTGATATCAATTTTGGTAAGTCAATGCAACAAGTGAAAATTTTCTTTTAAATTCATGATATTTTTTTTTTATTTTGCAGCAATTCGTGTCTATCGTCAAATTGGGAATGCGTCAACGGTGTACGCATTAAAAACTATTTCATCAATTGAAGATATAAATTTTGTGTCTGCATTTTGTGCGCTATTGCTCGGTGAAACGGACAAAGCGAAAACATTCTTTGCAAAAAGTATAAATCCAGTGGAAGCATTAGATTTATGTCGAGATTTATTACAATGGGAACAAGCCATTACGCTGGCTGATACATTGGCGCCCGAACAAATTCCACTTATAGCCAGAGAATATGCTCACCAACTCGAATTCACGTTAGTTCACTCGAACATTGTGTTGTGGCTTCATTTTCATCATTCTTCTCTATTACAGTAATCGATATGCTGACGCTCTAGCCAACTATGAAAAGGGAATGGATCGATCAACATTGGACCGCATTCGATTGAGTGAAAGTGCATTGGAAGAGCATAAACGAATGTGTGAATTTGGAATCGCTCGTACAAATATCAAACTGGGGAATTTCAAAAAAGGGGTTCGCTATCAATACCAAGTGTTTTAAATTGAATAAAATATATTTATTGTTTTTTTTTTAAATTTAAATTCTAGATCAATCTGGCGACCGAGCTGAAAGATAAGCAATTATTTGAAGATTGTGGCGAAGCGTTGACAACAATGAATGAAACTGTTGAGGCGGCACGCATGTTTGAATTGGCTGAGAATTGGGATCAAGCGTCAATGGCAAGTATTAAAAGTGAATAATTTATTAATCTCGATCCTGTCACCATTTTTGCCATTTTAATTAATGTGATTAATTTTATTTCAAATTTTCAGCTATATGTTCAATTAAAGGCGTGGCAAAAGGTTCGTTCAATTTTACCGCATGTAACTAATTCGAAAATGCATGCCATTTATGCAAAATCATGTGAGGCCGATGAAAATTTCAATGAAGCCATCGAATATTATCGCAATGCCGGTGATTTGGATAGTGTAATACGAATTTATGTGGAACAATTGGCCGATCCGCATAGTGCAGCTGAGATTGTGGTCGAGACACGATCAATGGACGGTTCAAAGCTACTGGCACAGTTTTATCAAAGTGTCGGCGATCATGAACAGGCTCTACGGTTTCTTATTCTTTGTGGTTCACTGAATGAAGCCTTTATATTGGCAAAAAAACACAAAAAAATACGTCAATATGCCGAATTGCTGGAAAACTCAGACACAGCAAGTGCCAATAATTTCTTAAGTATTGCAGAGTATTTTGAGAATGAAAAATACACACTTTTAGCCGGAAAATATTACTATTTTGCCAAGGAATACACAAAGGTTTGCTAGGATAAACTTTGATTTTTTTTTTCATTTTCTTACCTTTTTCTAATTCATTGACAGGCGTTGAAATATTTATTAAAAGCATCAACATTCAGTATGGACGAAAGTACGGCACTTGTTTTGGCCGTTGACTGTGCCGCTTCCTCAAATGATGATAAAATTGCTAATCAATTGATTGAATTTCTGCTTGGCGAACGGGACGGTTCGCCCAAAGATCCAAAGTATTTATTTGGCTTGTATATGGCACGAAAACAATTCAAAGAAGCCGCTAAAACGGCTGTTATCATAAGCAATCAAGAACAAATTGCTGGAAATTATCGTAATGCACACGATTTACTTTTCTCCATGTATCAGGTAATTTGCTGCGTTGCGTGCAGATAAAATCGTTAATCACAATGAACAAAATGAAACAAAAAACAAATAATTCTTTTTTTTTTATTATTTAAGGAATTACGGAAAAATAATCTATCAATTAGTGCTGTGATGGTTGGGAATTTAGCATTACTCCATCGTTATACATTAGTACGAACACATGTAAAGATTGGTGATCATCATCAAGCTGCAAAGCTACTAATTCAAGTTGCTGCCAATATTTCACGATTTCCAGCTCGTAAGTTACACACATTTAAAAAAAAACACACACACACACAAAGAAAATTACTTGAAATTATGCTTTTTCCATCGTTAATCACATAGACACTGTTCCGATATTAACGTCAACCGTAATTGAGTGCCATCGGGTTGGATTTCAAAAGGCAGCATTTTCATATGCATCAATGTTGATGAGATCAGAATATCGCAGCCAAATTGATCAAAAATATGCCAAGAAAATTGAAGCGATCGTTAGGAAAGCACCGAATGGAATCAAGGATACCGAAGACGCATATCAAGATGAAACACAACCATGTCCAATTTGTGAGTGTAATCTACAAATCATGGAATTGTCGTGTCATCAGTGCAAAACCAATTTACCAATGTGTATTGCTACGGTAAGTTATTTTAACAACTTCAAAAGTGACGATATCTTATTGCGATTTAGTGGGAAAAAAAATCTAGAGATAATCAGCATGATGACAAAAAAAGTTTGTGTTTAAAAAAAAAGTCGACGAACACTTATGCCTCGATGGCCTAATTTAATGCGATGTTTGCATGTCAAGATAATGATAAATCACTTTGTCAATTTAATTTTCCAGGGTCAGCATGTCGCCAAAGGTGATGTTGTCGCATGTCCTGCATGTGATTTCCTATGCTTTCAACCGCAAATGACCAAGTAATAACACCATCTAAATTTAAATTACAATGTATATTTTTAGCTTTGTACTAATTCGATGCTTTTTTTAAATCTTCATCAGAGTTTTAAATGCAACGAATCAATGCCCCATGTGTAGCGAAATCATCGATTCGAATCAATTAAACGAAGTGACAAATATTGCCGATTATCTGAATATATCTTAAGATTGTGTTTTTATTATGTGGATTCTTTTTTTCTGAATATTTATTGAATAATAAAATAAATACACTAAAGCGTTTGTTTGTTTGTTTGAATTTATTAATTTCAATAATACGTCTTGAGGAAAGCACATACATGGAACTTTATAGGTTTCGTATTTGTTTTGTCTGTTAAATACTTGGCGCTATTTTGTTTTCTTTTTAATCAACTATGCAATTTTTGTTGAAAATTTAAATGATTTTTTTTTGCTTTGCATTTTTTTTTTTCATTTAATAGTTGAATTTAAACAAAATGTGTGAGTCGAACGATTCTTTGTGTTTCGTAAGATTTGAATTTATAAAAGATTTTTTTTTATCATGATACTATTTCGTCAAACGAAATACGCGGTAAAAATTAGAGATAAAAATATTGGATCAATCGCAAATCAAACGTGTTGATTTGTGATTAAATAGATTGAAAAAATATTTTAAATTGAATGCATCAGTTTTTCCTCCGTCGTGTGTATGTTTGTCTTATTTTTTTCATTTAAATTAATTACAATGAGGTTAAAAATAGATTGAATCATAAAAATTAATCATTACATAATTAAATCACCTTGTTGTTGTTGTTGTTGTTTGCGTTTATACATAATATTTAAAATATGGGTTTAAATTACGGCCAATGTCGTTTAGAAAGAAAAACGATCGATTTTTTTTTTGGGTCGAAATTTTTTGTTTGCCTTTTTTAGTTCTGACATTCTATTCTATTCTATTTATTTAACACACAAAGGGATGTGAGAGGAGACAATTTCTCATCTTTTTCGGCTCAAATTGTTCAGAACTGATTCATACATACGAATGTTGTCAATAATTGAATGACCAACAATGTCAATGAATCGGCCCGTTTTCAATCTAACATTGATAATTTACTCTAATTTTAACAATGTTAAAGTTTTAGTATTTTTCGCCCATTTTGCTCTATAATATTGATTTGGTTGATTTGTGGCTTTAATTTTTCACCTATTTCACCAAATACATTCATTATTTACCATTTGCATTGTATAAAACGTTCTATTCCAATTAAATAATCAATTTTCCAAAAATAATGAAAAACCAATAATAATTTTACAACAAACAAAGCTCAATTTGTAGCCAAATTTTTTTAGATAGCACTTTCTTCTTATTTTTTTGTATTGGTATTTTTTGCATTTTTTTTCATAGAATTTAATTTTTATATAATAAGAACAGTTCAACTGTGAAAGTTTACATATTTATTTCATTTAATCAGTCTAACTGAGTTCCGAGTTTGGAATAAAAAACGTTTCGCCATTATTATTTTTTTATCGAAAGATTTTTGTTTTTTGCAAACAAAAATAACCAGATTCCTGTTGCGTATTATTTTAATAACAATATATTGTTGTGAGCAGTAATTTGCGCTCAAGACAATAAAAACAGATGACGTTTTTTATAAATGAAGTAAGAAAATTGGAAACTATTCAAGGGGAAAAAATTCTTTATATATGTCTTTCTATTTATCCATCTTGTGCGAAGATCAATCAATTATACCGTTGAATGTGCAGAAATTTGATGTTCATTTAAACAGTTTTTATTTGAAAAAAATATATATTTTTTTTTCAAAGGTTAAAAGCCAGATGTGGCGATTTAATAGATTTGAGAAGGGAATGACAGCCAAAAGTTTGCAAAAGAAAAAAAAATGCTAAAAAGCAATACAAAAATGATCGAGTTGAATTTTGATTTGAACAAAAAAAAAAGATTTTTTTTTTTTCGTTTTCATATATACTTGGTGTTTTGGTGTGAACAATGTTCGGATTTGAACAAAAGATATAAAAGAATAGAACCGAGAAAAATAATAGTTTTAATTGATATAAAACTTAACATAAAACTATTAACACAAAGACCTGTTGATCCAAATAAATTTAAAAAATAATAATAAATGTACACAAAAAAAAAGAACAGCAAAGAAATGACTAGTCAAGAAAATGTTAATCCTCCAATAGAAAATGTTACTATCCTGTTTGTAATGTATTGTCGTTAGCCGTAGCAGCATACATGCATAAATATTTACAGGAAAGTAAAGTCGATTTTTATGAATTGAAGGATATATTTATATGTATGCAAGTATGTGTGTGTGTGTTGTCGTTATTGTTGCTAATCTATTCGTCCAAGATATAACAAGAAACAAACACCGTTGACGAAAGCGAAAACATTCGCGACCGAAATTGACATCCCGGCTCACAATGATTAAAACACAAAATGGTTCCAATTAACAAAATTGTTTAAAACAATTTAGCATTAATTTCGATTTTGAAAAAAATGTGTTGTGTCTCTCCATAAAAACAAAATGCTGGTCAAATACGTACTAGACTGGCATAGCACCAAATAATTAATTAATGTAGCGAGAGAATTTCGGACTCAATCATTTGAACCATGCGACAGTATTTGTGTTCTAATGAGCGTGATGAGTACGAATCGGTGTTTGCACTTCCTACACAAAAGATTACATTTGCATACAAGTCGAAATACAATGTCGATTAATATGATTTTTGTTTGTGTGTATTCGTATATCTTTTAAATGGTTCTTTTTTTTCTTACGTTTCTTTAATATTTCGTTAAATAAGTATTGTATAGCACAATATGCCTATGCATAAAGTTTAGATTAATTAATAGACTTTTCTTGATTGAATAGTAGCTTTGTTGTTTTTTTTTTTTTTGTTGTCGGTTTCTATATTTTCATTTTGTTTGTCGAACGTATGCTGTTTTTTTTTCTCTTCTATTCGTTTGTTTTTTCTTTTCTTTTTTTTCACAAAAAAAAAAATTAATTCTTAAATTAACAAGAAACAAAAAGTATCTTATATTGAAATACTTGAAGAAATTCATTCGATTGCTTTGTCCATGAATTCAATAAAGCGTTTGGCATATTGATCTGGATCACATGTTGATATTCCGTCCACGTTGCTTCCATATTTCACTGTTTTTGCTGCTTTTGCGGCCTATTTACGATTTAATTAAATGAAAATCAAATTGAATTGATTGACTATCATGGTTAATTATTTACCTGTTTTTTAACACCGTACTGTGTGAGAACGTCGATGATTGCAATGAAGTAAATTTCACGCCGCTCTAAAAAGGACCATTTATCAAATGAATGTAATTTGTATTCACATTAAATGGATAATTGTAATTACCTTCAATACTGTGTAGTGCATAAATGTCAATGTCTTGGATGATATCGTTATATGGTCCCAAGCATCTAGGTGAATCTGGCGGTGTATTGTATGCGCATCTGTTGATTTTTTGTTTTCAGTTTAACATTAAAATTTGTGTAATTAATAACAATAATTTGATCAAATATACTATACCTTTCACCGCTTTCACACTCTTCACTTTCGCTTGTCTCACGACCAGTATTTGCATCTCTGCCGGCATTTTCATTCAATAGCGCCTCTTCTTCGGCCTGCGCCATATCATGAATGCCGACCAATAGGGAGTAATCCATTAAATGGAGTTTGGTTAGGAACTGGAATCAATTCAAAGCACATTTTTTGCATTATTTTTTTCTTTTCATTTGGCAATAATTATCGAATTAATAATATCGAAATGACTCACGTTTGTGTCGGCATTAAGCATTTCAAATAATTTCTTTTTTGCGTCTTCGCCAATGCATAGTCGGATTTTTTGCTTAATGAAATCATTATCCTTGAGAGTGGGCAAATGCTTCTCTAATTCTTTGTCGGACGCTTCACGATCAACGGTGCTACCTTTCAAGTCAAACTTTCTAGAAATTGGCAATATGAATGTGAAAACAGAAAGAAAAAAGAGAACCGACGAACAAACAAAGATTACAAACAATTCTAATGACTAAATGCTTTAGCATATAAATCAAAATGATAAATACAAAGAGATAGAGATAAAACTCATCATAAATGAGTCACTTACCTATGGATTGTTAAATGAGAACTAAATACATTTCGCATAACCACAAAATAATACTGAACACCATCCACCGTTAATCGGTACATGCCTAGATATTGCGGTAATAGGGTGTTACCATGTCGTTCAACCACATACTGCAATCAATATCCACGTTATAACATTTAATTTGATTATGATTATATTCCAATTGAGTGATTTATGCACAATTTTAATGGGCATCAAACAACAATTGATGAAAATAGCAACAATATAAAATATGACCCATATAATATAGCTGGTGGGCTATAGATAGAGGAAACGAGATAAAGCACACTTACCGGATGATAGTGTTTGAGAAATGCATGCATGCGTTCAATTTCTTCGGACGTAAGACTTTTCAAAATGAAATATTTATCGTAGCTTCTATAGAATTGTGCACCACTTTTGCCGGACGAATCGACTTGAACGGGTTGAGAGCGGGTCAATGATTCACGATAATCGACATCATCGACGCCAAAACGTTCACGTAAATTTCGAAAGACTAACGGGCAATACTCTTTCACTTTGAAATGGGATGGCATATTTTCTCTAAAACATTTTGATTGATGATGGATGACGATGGTGACGGTGGTGAGTTGAAAATATTTCAAGGGTAAAAAACATCAAAAATTATTATTCATGAAATATTAATGAACCAAATTAATGTACAACATGTCTTACTTGTTGAACAGATGATTATCCACTTTGATTTTCGAATATGCTCGAAAATCGTCCGGTAGCAACATGACTGGTATATTAACATGACTTAATTCGTTTATCTGTATATTGACATCGGCGATCGAGAGAAAGAGAAATAATAATAAAAAAAATTACAATCATTAGTATCTGAATCGATAAATTCGATGTCATTACACTTCTATGTCGAACTACAGAATAAAAAAAAAAATCTAACATTAAATTATGGCGGAATAATGACTTGTATCCCTTCGGGCTTGTGTTTGAATCTCACGAGTAATGACAATACAACAATATGATGCCATTAACATGCAAAAAAAGAAGTGAACTAATCATGAATGAAAATAATCATTTCGCTTACCGTGTGATTGATGCCCCACATAAATACACTTAAAATCGGTTCATTTGCACGAAATAGCTTGACTTTCTGATGTTTTACACGAAATTTCCTTCTTATCATTCTTGGCATTGACGATGAACCGGACGACATTTTGAATGTGTGTTTTGTTTTGGTCGATGAATGTATTGCTCTCAGTAAAAGATGTTTTTATATTTTGCACACCAAATAGCTGCACACTTTGGTTTTAATGATGATTATCGTCTTCGGTGTTGTCGTTGTCTACTTTCGTTTCAACAACAAAAACAAAACAATGCGGATCAAACTAGATGTTTTTGTCGTAATGTTTATATGCCAGTTGTTCGGTCTAATACCAACCAATTATGTCGGCGCTCATCAATCTGTGAAATAAACAACAAAAAAAAAAACATTCTCAATTCTGCGTCATGCTGCTTTTTAAAAAAAAAAAAATAACCACTTTCTCTGAATCGTAAGGCGCGATATTGTGTGATTCATTCGGCAAGATATATACATTTATACACTTTTCGCAAATTGCGATAGGGTTTTTGTTTCGATTTTCGAACAAACATGAGTGGTAATATCTTTGTTATTTGTTTATTTGGTCGATCAAACTCTATCTCTAATGCATATCATTGATTATTATTATCGATATACATCATATGAGAAGTTTTCGGCCAAGTATATATATATCGAGACGAAACGACGTGCTTTGAATTTTATTTGCCATTGAACAATGCAAACACCAAAAAAATAATTATTATGATGTCTTCCATGCTATATACCTATAAACACGGTGCGGTGTTTATGTGATTATAATCACACAGGTTGAATTGAACGATTTGGTAAAATTGTACGTTGTTGTTGTCGCTGTTGTTGTTATTAAGGATTAAGATAAGTGAATCAATGAACTTCCCTTTGTCACAATCCGAAAATACGTAGGTAAAATGTGAGAAGGGAATGAATTTCTTTTTCTCTCACCTTTACAGGTGCACAAGGTACAAAAAAGGTAAATAAAACAAAAATAAATGTTGTTATTGCTGTTGTGTCGCGTGTGTATATGCTCTGATTGAGGTAGATATTTCGGTATGTGTATTTTTTACATGTGCTTTTGACATTAATTTTTGTTTCTTATTTGTTTTCATAGTCACACTTTGTGTGTGCATTACCTAGAACACACATAATTCAAAGTACTCGATCGACACACCCAGAAAAGTTGGGCCAACAATGAAAACAGGCCATCGAAATGCATGCAATCAAACAACGCGCACAGAAACAGTTTATGTACGGTGCTTGAGTTCTTTTTATTTCGAACCAAAAATGAAAAAAAAATTAGAAACTTACACAACACGAAAACTGTTGAAGTGAAGCAGCACGCATAAGTTATGTGGTGGATATGGCAGCAGAAGAAAAACCAACAACGACAACGAACTTATTGAAAATGATTATATGACATTAGTAAATATTTAATTGGTGTATTTTCGTATAATAACAATTCCTTTGTACAATGTGTGTGCATGTGTGTGTGTCTGTATGTATCGAAATGATAGCCATTTTCAGCTTTTTATCTTAATGGCTAATTAAATGCAATACTTGTTCTCCGACCGAACGATGGAACGAAACGTACAGACGTACGGGGAGTTTGTTAAAAACTGGAAATGTACGACAAAAGGCGATTCACGCGCGTCAAACAACAATGATAAAAGATAGTCGAAACAATTTAAAAATTTCACTAGAAATGCGGCACGTAAATATCAATCATTGTTTGTGTGTGTGTTGTGCAATTCTTGGCTATTCTCTTTTGTTCTGTCATAAACCGAATTCGTGGTGTTCATTTGAAATATTTCTAAATGCACAATTTTATCAAAACATAAACACAACCGTTAAAATGAATTTTGCGTAAAATCAATTTCAATTGCGACGAAACTGAATGTAGAAACATTGAACAATAGAAGTAGGTGGTTTTTTTTTTACTTCTATTTATTGCTCTACTCGATATCACGTAGTACAATACATCGGTGTAGATGGCAAAATGGTATTAGTATAGGAGTGATTTCATTCAAATCACATACACTCTTTCTGATTTGTTATGTGCATTTCAAAAACAATTTTATCATTAGCAAATTAGAAACGGTGATAGGGTCAACTGTCTATTGTAACACAATGATTGCTATTAAATGATATCGAACCATCCAAATGGTGCGAACTCACAAGCCACAAACCATACAGAAAGTGGATAAGCAGAGAGACAAAAAAAAGAAGAAATACGGTAGCACCAAACAGCAAAAATGGTTTAATAACACAACCAAATACGTTTCGATGCCACCGAAATGGGACGATTCAAGATGGACAAAATGTTAAAATTCAAATGTTATCGATCATGACACTGTATTTGTAGAAAATGACAAAAAAAAATCAACGTACTTAAAATGTGCACAGCTTACAATTTAAAGATGTCAACTCGAATCAAGTGAGTCAAGCTCCGATTAAATTCGGAGAATGAACAGAGAGAAAGAGGGACAGAGTGAAAAGAAAAAAAAATGTTCGCATAAATATCTTGACAGCATCAAAATGATGAGCGCGTAGCATGCGTTCGTATTATAATTATTTTTATATTTTTTTTCGCTATTTGTATTCATAGTAAGGAAATTGACATTTATGCAACATACTTTTGATTTTTTTTTTATTTTTACATGCTTTTCATGTAGCGATACAATTACGTTGCAATGTTAAACTGCAATAGCCCATCATCGGCACGAAATTGAATAACCAAAATGAATAGAAGCGAACGATGAATTTCGCGTATATAAACAATGCTTTTCTCTTCTTCTTTTTTTTTCGTTCGTTGTCGCTGGTCTGTTGGTCGCGCACACAATTATTTTATGTTTTTGCTTGATTTAAAATGCATTTTATGAATTTTGCTGTTGCACACATGCAGATCGCACACGGATGAAAAATATAAACGGAAATTTTATCGTGGCTTTTGGTATTTGCCATGCACTCGACTCGCGATAATCAAAGTAAATAGCAAAATAAATGACAACAACATTCTTTTTACTTCTTTATACCTGTGCAAATACACTCAACCATATCGTCCGAGTTGCAAATTAAGAGAAAAAACAACAACAAACACAAAAATAACGAGAAGAAGAAAAAGCAAATGCGCCTCTATTATTTTTTTTTTAAATCAAATATACTAACACTTGGTTTTAGTCCATTAGATCCAAATATTACTGGGTCAAATGCGATGTTCAGTGGAATGACAGGAGATGGAGAATGTTTTTTTTTCTCGGTATGAGTTATTCGTCTTCGTGTTGACTTTTTTTTTATTCTTATTTATGAATCAGCGTCGAATGATTAATTTACAAAACTTGTCTTGTTGCTTCAAATATGTCCTGTATTTTTATTGCGGTTTTGTTTTTGTTTTCTTGTCAAAAGGTAATTTTCAACTGGTACGGATTCGGTTTTCTATATGGGAGACAATGAAAGACGTCAACACTTGCAATACGACATAAACTATTTGTTGTTTCGCTATGTGGTTCTTTTTTTCGCGATCGGAAAGACAGATGAAAAAAAAACAGCACACACTTTAGTTCACTGCAGCGTACACACACACCAAATATATGCACGGGCTCCAAAATGATTAATAGCAAGACTGACTCAGTTCATTTGTTGTCAGATTCTTTTGCGTTGTGCGAATGTTTTGATGTTGTCCTCACCAAATTGTTTTTTCGATTGAATTTTACGTGAATCGGCACGGTCGTAATCACTCTCACAATCTGTTGGTTAAACACTCACACATCTTTTATTGATTGAATTCAATTTTTTGCATTTGCTTTTGTTTTCAGTCGTCGATTATAGTCGAACACTTATTTTTTTTTTTTGTAATATATATTGATATTGTATATGTACGTTCATTTCTTCTCACACACTGAGTTGATAATTCGCTCTGAAGTTGAAGCGAATTCTGACTTTCAATCCATGTGTAACACGTTCATGTATTGGAGTTTGTGCGTATGTTTATGTTTTGTATGTAGCACAAACCGTTTTTCTACCATATCTGTGTGTATGTGTGTATGTGTGTTTGTGTCGGCTACTAGTAATTGCCATTTCAGAATCTTTCATCATTATAAATCTTCATTATCCAATTACTTCTGTCAATTTCTTATATATTTTTCTATCGCCATAGATATAATGAGAAAAAAAAATTGTTTATCAAAACCAAAAAGATCATGTAACACATGCTGTAGAAAATTAAGTATAAATGACATGGTATTTAAATATTATGATGTTTCTTAAATTCAAAACTTCTTCTCGTCTTTTCCATGAATCATGATTATTTGCTGCATTGAGAGTGGTCTATTTCAAGTGCATATTTTTCAATGTACAATTAAAAAAAAACTCGATTTTAAAATATTATTATTTAAATACTTTGATTAAATATAGTTAGTTAACGTAAATTTCAACTTTTCATTTGTTTAGTCTTGCCAGATGCAATACCTGTCATATGTTATAAACAATAGAATTTATCGTTTGATTTTTCTTTTTAATTTTATATTTCCGTTCCAATTACAACTAGATAATTTGTTATTCGAAATAACTCTAGACTTTTTTTTGCTGGGGCGTATTCCAATTGAGAATTCGATAAATTATTTTCTAAACAATAATATTTTGAACATACGGAAACGATAATGATCAGCAGGATGCATCGTTAATCTCAAACGGCAAATATCAAGTGAATAGCTTAAGCTTTCAATTGAAACTACGGGGTCGAAATATACGATAATATAGAAATGTGCGAGAATGGCATTTAGATCGGCCGGTGATTGGATTCGACTTTTTTACCTTCATCAAACCTTTTCTTTCCCCTTTGAATATTCGATTTTTTGTGCAAATATTCCATAAATTTCGAGCGAATTTTAAAATCAATTCCTGAAAAATTTAACAGTTATCATACTCTGTTCTGATTGATATATCGGTATTTTGAATGTTCACAGACATTGTTTGGACAGAGACTCTGATGGCGAAACACACAATGAACGCGTATTCTGATTTTTCTGTAGATATTTTATTACTTGGTTCTCACATTAAATTGCATCTTACATATGTATACATATATTTTTATTTGCGTTATTAAGAAAATGATGTCTTTTCTCTTGTATTTTCTATTAAGAAGGAAAGATGTGATGTAATTTGATTATAATCCTATAGGAATCATCATTCAAAATATATACTATTTATTTATTTTTCTAAAAGTGTTCAGCATGTAAAATGAATCATTTGTTTCAATTATATAAATGAACCTATTGTGATCACGATTATATGATTCATACTCGGCCTCATCTGTTCATTGTCTCATTTGAAGACATCTTCATTTTGTGCTTACATTTGTGTTGAACAAATAATAAGATATATATTAAGTACGCTTATTTGAACGAATTCGACCAAAGAATTAGCGATCCCGACTTAATGATTTTCGCTGCATCTTCTGGTCGTATAAGTCTTATTTACAAGTGCCAATAATATACTTTCTTTTAATTATTATTAAAATGTTTTTGCAGAAGGAAAAAAAATGAAAATGAAAATAGCTACTCTTAATAGATTGATGAAAGCTTTTTGTACATTGAAAAATAAAAATGTATTTGCATAAAATCATAATATGAAGTTCCATAGCCATTAATATGGTATTCCTTTTGATGGAATTTAAGCTGTCCATTTGGAATCATTTTTATATAATATTATATTTAGATGTGTATAATTGTGATGGATGATGAATAACTAAGATAAAGTGATACTTAAAAATTCCATTTACATCGAAACTTATTCTTACAATATGATTGAATTTACTAAAAAAATGATGTTTATTCGAATATTCACTGCGAAATTTCACTAATTTAGCGTATCATGATTTCAAATTGATTTCTCACTCATTTGAATTTATAGGATTATATGTGCTTAGTTGTGACCAATGCATGCATTTTTTTTTCACATTATTCAATCAACGTCATTGTGTATCGTATATCGTTAAATGGTACAACTACATTTGATTGTTGTCAAACAATAGATTTACGTCAACCCCAAGTCATCTATTCAACTTTATTTGTATCGTAGCCCCATTGTGACATTTGCGTTTGTTTACCATCGACTGTAACCGGATTTGCGGATGCCTGTGAGGTATTTGTATGCAGATCGGCATATTCACGTTTCGTTGGTGTGCCATACAAATGAAATGGAATTGCATTGCTTGGATTCACATGTTTCGGATCAACGGAGTGTGTTTGCTGTTACAAATAAAACAAAAGTAAATTGTAATGGCGCCGCCAAAGATAAGACAGAATTTGTGTTTTTTGTTTTGTTTATTAAGCTGTGTGATTTACCTGTTGTGCTTGAGATTGTTGTGATTGCGGTGGTTGTTGCTGTGATGTCGGTTGTGTCGATTGTAGAGATGAGTTTGTTTGTGCATTTGTTACGGTTTGTGCAGGTATTGAACTGCCATGCATCGATAAGTAATGACGCTTGAGGTATAGATCTGATGTAAATGACTTTTGACATAATGGACAACAAACTGACGTTGGATTATGAATGAGTCGCATGTGCTGCCGTAAATTCGAAACATTTGAATAGACGCGTGCACACAATGGACATGAGCATGGTTCAAGTGCTTTATAGTTTTTTGATGATTTGCATCGTTGTTGACCGTCACCATCATCACTATTCGATGATGTATTTGACGTTGGATTGCTGCTATTCGGTCCATGTTGTGCCATAAAATGTTTGTCATCAAGCCATTGTTCATTGTGCGATACACTACTTGGTCCAGCATCGTCGTATACCTAAGGGGCAAATCACAAAAGAAAAGAATACAATTAATTTAAAATAATCGACAAATAATCGGGAATCGTCGTATACCATTCGTTGATGTGATTTTCCATAATCAACATTACCACCGCCATAAGTGTTTGCTGCCTGAGATGATTGATCACCAAATTCGATTTCCGTTTTCGTTTCAATCATACCACCATCGTTTGGAGTGGTCCCTTCATTTAAATCATCCAAACGAATTTTCTTGTGTTTTCGTTGCTTCTCTTGCATACTACTTTCGGTTCGTCGTAAGTTTGATAGACTTGCATCCTAAGGTAATAGCGATATTTTGTTAGAAAACGAAAAAACAAAATTATTGGATTAAAAAAAAAAGCCATACCGAGTTCTCCTTGGTCACACCACGTATTTTAAATTGTTCGGCCATTTCGATGAAATCAATTAAGTCCTCGTTGTTTATATGCACCTCACCTGGATGATTGAGTCAGAAAGGAAGAATGAAAACAATGGAAATTAATCAACATGCAATGGAAGATAATGGAAAAAGAGTCGAAAAAGTGCACCTTACCCATATACATAAAATCCAAAATTGCACGTAAAACCTCACTTTTCACGCCATTTATGAAGAAAACTGGATGCGAACAGGGATTTTTCTATTTTTCATACACAAAAATATATATGATTTTATCAATGTTTTAAATAAATGAATTTGCAAATTACATTCTTACCTTCAATATTTCTCTGAAATACGGACTGCATGCAAACAATACCAATTTGTGAGCGCCAAATTGTTTTCCATCACATGAAAATGTAATGTCCACCAAATCAGATGCCTCTTGAATCTTTTTGAATTCAGAACTTACATTTAGCCTGGAAAAATGAACAATAACATCTTTTAAATACACCATTCATCTTCGCTTGTCCATTTGTTGTTTACAAATATTGCACAAGCACAACAATCACATCAAAATAAATCATAAAATGGTCATGCCAATGGTGTTCATCAAAATATTCAAGCGACAACTTACTGAAAATTGCTCCATTTCAGATAGAATAGTTCATTTGAGGCAGTCTGCTGTAAATCACTCATTATGTTTTTTTTTTCTGTTGCCGTTTCGACCCTTAATTACACCACAAAACACAATCAAGATTTTGACTGTTGCACATAAATCGGGTTTTTCCGAATGAAATCAACTTCAATCTTTATTTAAAAATGTGTTGTCGAATTTATGTATGCTTTGAAAATGTTCGTTCAGCTGTTGCATGAAACCATGAGCAAATGCTTCTTAATTCATTCGTTTTTGACGGTGAAAATTACTTGATTGTATACAATTTTTTTTGTTATAGAACGAAGCGCATTAAATAAAAAAATGTCATTAAATAAATGACAAGCAATAAGCATGGCCACATGTAGACATAATCAAATACTGTTTTGGACGACCTGTATCTTGTAGCATGCACTTTAACGTAGCCCAGACAAGCAAACGAGAGATAGTATATGGATGGAAATAAAAGAAGAAGAAGAAGCAGCAGCAACAACAACCACAGACATCGACAGTACAAAACACAGCACCGTCTCACACGTCGAATGTCGAACACTTATCGCATGTGTATACGCATGAGTGTTGTAACAACTACACTCACGACCTCTAATCGAAATTCGTATTCGAGTCGAAATGCAATGGTATTTGAAATAAGATGAAAAAAAAACTGATATACTTCTCTTTCATACTCATTTTTACTTTATTTCGATTGCACTCTGAACTTCAGGACTAACATAACCTAATGCAAATTTTGCCGAATTCGCGGATACGGGACATAAACTGCACAACGCAATATTCATTGATTTGAATTTTAGAATATTTACTCCGTTAAAATATATCTTGATGACGGTTGTTTTTGCTGCAATTAAGCCGCTAAAAAGTTTACAAACACCTAATTCGCCGATTTTCCGTTATATTCACAGTGAAATAATAAAAATGAGTTTGGAAACAGCAAAAAAATTAGCCGCATTCAAAGCGGTCGATGATTGTGTCGAAAATAATATGGTTCTTGGTATTGGTAGCGGTTCAACGATTGTTTACGCTGTTGATCGTTTAAAGGAGCGCGTCGAAAAGGAGAAATTGAATATTGTTTGTATTCCGACAAGTTTTCAAGCGCGTCAGCTTATCATTCAGAATGGATTGAAATTGGGCGAATTGGAAATTAATCCAAAATTACATTGTACCATCGATGGAGCCGATGAAGTCGATTCTAAAATGATCCTGATCAAAGGTGGTGGCGGTTGTTTACTACAGGTAGAAAAAAAATACGATTTTTTTAAAAAATGAAATGAAATTTTATTCAAGAAAATTTTTTTTTAGGAAAAAATCGTTGCATCGTGTGCAGAAAAATTGGTAATCATTGCGGATTATACGAAAAATTCTACACATTTGGGTGAACAGTACAAAAAAGGCATTCCAATTGAAGTGGTGCCGATGGCATATGTGCCAATCAAACAAAAAATCGAACAAGAATTCGGCGGTTCGTTGAAACTTCGTATGGCGGTGGCAAAAGCAGGACCTTGTGTCACTGACAACGGTAACTTTATTCTTGATTGGAATTTTAAAACTGACAAAACCACCGATTGGGAAACGGTAAACACGAAAATCATATCGATTCCGGGTGTTGTAGAAACCGGCTTATTCGTGAACATGGCACAACGAGCTTATTTCGGTCAAAGTGATGGCACTGTCTTTGAACGGGGCAACAAATAAACTCAATTTTTTTTTTAAATGAGTTTATCCGAATTTTTTTTTATCCCAAAATAAAAACAAACTTACCATTTCTGTGGTTCCTATCGTTTTGATCATTGAAAAAAATGATCAAATATTTCAAATCAATGTTGAATTTTCGAAAATAATAATAACAAAAGAAAAAAATTAATTCAATAAATACACAACATTTATTCTATTTTTTATTACAAAAATTTTGATCAATTTTGTTCTTCAACATGCGTTTACACTTTATTCATAAATATTATTTTAAGTAATTTACGACATTGCTACTGGAAAAACAGTAACTATGCTACGCTCAATTTTCAGTTCATTGACTTTGTTCTGTTCTAACGAAATATTTTAAAATGACTTTTTAATTCGATGCGGTAGAATTGACTCTTTGGCATAATTAAACAACGAAAGTAGTCCCATATTTTTGCGACGTGAAAAATAATTGGTCACAATGTCATTGTCGGTATCAGCTGAAATTTTAAATGATAGAATATAATTGAAATGAAAATTGACATGAATCATGTGAATAATAAGCACTTAAACCTACTCAATAGTGATGTTCTCTCGTTAACAGTTGGCAATACATTGTCATTTGCATTCAATGACACAAACAAAGCAAACGGTACGATCCATAAGCATATTGTAAAATATCCTAAGACCTGTGGAAACAATGTTGAAATTTAGTTGACGCACATATGATACCATAAAAGGTCGTGTAGTCAGACATGTAGTTATTACCTCTGAAAAATTGTAGTAATTTTGTGTGAAATAACTAAAGGCTAGATAGTGATTGACAAACAGCATAATGACCGCACTGATGAATTGTATCGACATAATTTTAACATATGGAAAATCGGTGAGGATCATCGCATGAAATGCTTGTGACACAAGACCACAGATGACCATCGACCATGGAAGATTGTCAACGAACATGAATAGTGCATAGACGGTTGTCACGAACAGTACTTCGATTGTGATCACCTTTTTCGCTGTCACTGTATATTCTTCTACCAATTCTGCAACGTAATAGAGGCCAGCCGCTGTAAATGTGAAATGAAATAAATATTTGCATTCTTTGTGTCCACTTTAAATGTGCATTACATACCAACTGATATAATTACGGTAAATATTTGAATTAATGTTGCTATCAAACTAACAATGTATAGCAGCGTCATCGTGTCTATCTGCTTGCTATCGGAATTGTATTTTATTTTGTCAAAATTGATTGAGAATAAAATCAATTGATTGCACTGCTCATTCAAACTGAATAACTACAACTATTACAGAAAAAATTACCGATTTCAATACAATACAATTTACGATTTATTCAAAATTTACACAATGTCTTTGATTGATGTTCATGAGTATAATTTATATTTTTTTAGTCTTTTCTAATGTTCAAAATTACAATTTAAATGACACCGAGTATAAATGTGTGATAATCTAGAAAATTTGGCTGATATAATATGCTATCGTTAAATTTAGACCGAAAAATTGGATATGTGGCGATCTGAATGTTGTTTTTGTTTACATGTTGTCATTTCAAATCTAATTTTTAAACGTCACTTAATTTTCAAAATCATTAGATTTTCTAACTTGCTTGCTCTACTTATACGGTGATTTACGCATTCGATTTTTGTTTTGAGGTTATGTATCACCTATACTGTCAGATTGATGCAAATGTCATATAAATTTCGTTCGCAATTCAAAATACACATCGACGAGCAGCCACGGCTACTCGAAATATTTTTGTGTATGTTTGCAGTTTTAAATATTTCGCTCCGTCAAATAAGAGGCCTTACGAATTTTTCGTTCTTTTTGAAGAAATTTCGGCGGTTCAATTTTTGTCGACAGATATTTTCGGGGTGGAAATGGAATAAGTTTATTAAAATAATGGAAAACATCTTTCGTTGGATGAGGCAGTTCAGTGAAATATTTGTGACCTAATGCTTCATTGGTGCTGATGCGTTTCTTTGGGTCCATTACAAGCATTTTTGATAATAAATGAAATGATAGTTCATGCTTTGTAACGTTGAATGCTTTCATATACTTTGCCAATGAGCATTGGGCGTACCTGAAATTTTTGAGAGATAGTTTGAATAAAGATATCGAAAAAAATCTTTTAGCAATCAAATTTACTTGGATCTGGCAATTTCTTGTGTCATCTTCGTATATTCGGGAATGTGTTTCAGTTCTGGCCAACTTGCCAACGTTGGATAGCCCATAACACTGAATATTCTATCGAGTTGATTCTTTTGATACGGCGAACGGACGGGTTGAGGATTAGTTTCCGGAGTCGATGCAAATATCGGTAGATTTGTTAAAATTTCCGCAAAAATACATCCAATCGAAAACATATCGATGGCTTTTGTATAATGACGTGAAGCAAGTAATAGTTCTGGTGCACGATACCAACTAGTGACCACAACAGTGTCAACATCACCTAACGGTTTCATTGGCGCATGAAAAATGCGTGCCATTCCCATGTCAGCAATTTTAATGCAACCTCGCTGCGGCCCCTCACCCATAACCATTATATTTTCCGGTTTCTGCAAAAAAACAGTTCTCAATCATTTCTGCGACATTTTTCCCGTTTTTCCCAAATGATTCTTACCAAATCACGATGCAGAATCCAATTGTCGTGCAAATATTTAACGCCCAAAAGTATTTGATAAAGACAACTCTTTTTCATGACATAAGGCATTTTCAATGGAAATAGAGTCAGTTCAGTGTTACGATAAAACTTAATCATCGAATGCAAATCGTACTCAGCGTAATCGAAAAGTAACCAAGCCTTTTGATGTGAATAACTGAAGTACACCTTCAGCAAGTCGATTATGTTCGGATGTTTGATCTCACGGTACAGCTAAAAATGTCATTTGAAAAAAAATGTCGAAAATAAAAAAAATTGAAAATGTTAATTTCTCAAATATACATACGGCGATTTCACGAAACGTTGATGGTGAGTAATGTGTAAGTTCAACTTCTTTGAGTGCATAATTTTGTTTGCCATTTTCATCGTCTATTTCACGTGCTTTATACACTTGGCCATATGAACCCCGTCCGATTCGTACATTTTCGTTGAATGCATAATCGTCATAGACGCGCTGTCTACATTTGGCTGCCTTTTGCACAAAATAATAATCCATTTTTGCTTATAGTTTGTACGATATTTACAAATGAAAATGTTAAAAACGATATTCAAACATGGAGACAATGCATGAAAAGAGCAAAATGCGTTTTAAAAATTGTATGGCAAGTGATAGGTGATTTTATTGGTTTGTTGCAATCTAACTGTTTTCTTGTACCAATTGTATGAATTCAATTCGTAAAACCGCCAAACCATTTTCGTTTGTGCGTATGTGTTGGTGTGTGATGGCTTATATGTCTGTGTGCAATGACAGACATAAAGGTATAAATGAGATAGCAAGTGAGAAGATATATAATTTTAACAACATGATAAGTTGATAACAGTTTGTTGTGAAGTTGGACTCATGTATGCCGTTTTGGCGTAGAAAATCGACATGAATTTTGATTTAAAGAAAATTTTGTGTTTAGCACTTCAAATTTCACCGCATAAATTATCTCATTGGGGGTTTTGTGACAATGAAAATCGATGATGATAGAGATGACACATAAATGTGAACGTTTTCTCGTTCACACACACTCTTTCCAACTTCATATCATACAAAGCTGTCACACTGTGGCAATGCTGACAGATCGGCACTTTATAATGCCTTTTCTGATTGTGTCACGTTCTTGAAAAGGTCACTAAATACTTGATGTACCAATTAAAATTGTATTTTTTTCCCATTGCATATTTGTGTATTTTGATCAATTGAATTTCACCCATTGTGTGTCGTCATATGTAGCTCGTTGTTTATTCAGTTAACGATTTGGTTCGTTGTGTTTGTGACTATTCTTTTTTAACGGTGTTTATTTTAATTTTTCATTTCTAGGTTACACTTTCGTTGAACCCAATAAAAAGCTTTTGAATTTGGCATTCAATTTTTAATTCGTTTGCAACACAGTTTTCAACAAAAAAAAAAAACATTTGAAAAATGGCACCAGCAGCTGCGTTACCCAAACATCAACCCGAAGAATCGGAACCAGTCGGTATCAATGCAGTTCTTCTGGGCCCACCAGGAAGTGGCAAAGGAACACAGGTAATACTAATAATAAAAATAATAATAAATCGAAAAATTGCATAAAATCACATGATCTAATAGTTTTATCGAATTTTTAATTATTCAGGCGCCAGTGTTGAAGAAAAAATTTTGCGTGTGTCATTTATCGACCGGTGATATGTTGCGCGCCGAAATTGCAGCCGGTTCAAAAATTGGTGCTGAATTGAAACGTATCATGGATTCGGGTAAATTGGTGTCCGATGACCTGGTCGTTGACATGATCGATAGCAATTTGGATAAGCCAGAGTGTAAAAATGGATTCCTATTGGACGGTTTCCCAAGGACAGTGACACAAGCAGAAAAAGTAAATCGACATTTTATTTTTATCGAAATGCATTTTTTTAATGAATGTGTGTGTGTCATTAACTTCAATTAGTTGGATCAATTGCTTGAAAAGCGTAAAACCGGTTTGGATGCTGTCATTGAATTTGGCATCGACGACAATTTATTGGTGAGACGTATCACAGGCCGTTTGATTCATCCAGCCAGTGGTCGTTCATATCATGAAGAATTCCATCCGCCGAAAAAGAATATGACAGATGACGTAAGATTTTGATAAAATTCAACAACAATTCATGCAATTCACTCTTGGTGTGATTTTAATCAAATGTATTGGTGATTTATTGAATTAGATAACCGGTGAACCGTTGATTCGTCGCAGTGATGATAATGTTGAAGCGCTCAAAAAACGTTTGGAAACTTATCATAAGCAAACTAAACCGTTGGCCGATTACTATGCACTACAAGGACTTCATTATAAAGTTGATGCTGCCAAAAGTGCCAGTGCCGTATTTGAAAATATCGACACCATTTTCATGAGACAACGTGCTCGACGTTTAGCTGCCGCCTACAATTAAATATCAGTTGAATTTTAAAGAAATAAAATATATCTTTCAATATTAAAGCAAACAAATAAAATGAACATATTTTATGTGCAAACAAGGGTACAAAAAAGTAAGAACACACAGTACTTGAATATTTCTTCATTAACTTTCGCAATGGGGTTGTGACATTGTTTGACATACTGAATCCGAATCTGACATTACTTCTGTGATTGCAGATCAGTCCTTGTAATGGAATATTTTTTTAAATCCACTGTGTGTCAGTTAAAGTTCAGTGTGTGAAGATTTTCCAATTTTTTTAAAAGTCAAATTGCGAAAAAGAATTTTTTTGGTACATTCATTGTGCACAATTGTACATAATCTCTTTATTTTTGGACAATAAAGTATTTAATTACCCAGTGTTTTAATTTCTACGCAAAGTACCTAATATTCTCATTTTTTGGCACGTAAAACAAAAGTCAGAAACAATATAACTTTAATCATTTTATATAACTGTTTGTGTTTCTTTTTCACAGAGATAAAAAAGTTTAAAAATATACATAAATGAAGAAATGCGAAGAACAATACAAAACACCCGTTATTATTTTTTATAATCAATTTGTGTATACATAAGGGTCATACATGCAATGTAAAGGCACTTAATAATCTAAAGTTCAGATATTTTCAACGATATCGCACCAAAGCAAAGCGGACAAGATTTTCGATTCGTTACCTCCTCTTGATATGCACAATGATGACAATTATTGCATTGCCATGCATCGACTTGACGAATAATTGATCGGCCGGATGCTAAAAGAATAGAATCATTTATTAAAATAAAATTCCATTTCTACTTTTACATCTTTTAAAAAATCATTGTGTATGTACCAATGCACGTTGAAAATTGGGTCCTGCAATTCGGGCACGATGAATACCTACCGATGTAAATAGCGATTAAATTATTTTATATTAAAAATTTTGTTTGAAATGTTTACCATGTCGGTACCAAAGCATCGCAAATATAGCATTCAGTTCGATCGCTTCGCAAATCTTCTGGTTCATGTTGTGAAAATATATTAACTGCCATTTCTTCGTATTCGATGCGTCGTTGTTCCGGTATTGTTTCGAGCGACTCAAGTTTGATGAAAGCCTTGGAGCACGTGCCAAACGATCGATCAGCACAACTGGCCAACGCAAGTAAACAATAAATATCCTCAACATTCAAGACATCTTCATAATCGCGCAGTTGCATCGCTGTATAGACGGCACTGTGAATGAGACCGCTTCGTAATTGTCGTTGTGCCAACAGCATAAAATGATAACCTTTTGCTGCGTGCCATATTTGATCTAAAAGTACCGAATCCTCTGGCAATAATCCGCTTACAATTGATGCACGTGTTCCACCAGTCAATGATGCTTGAACTCGCAAATGATCCTCAATCAACAAACCAGCCAGTACGTATAGCTTTTTAATGCACAACATGCTACTCTTTTTGCTGACTTCACCTTCAGCCAATTTTGTCAGTAGCCGAGCAGCATCCAGATATCTTTTACAAATGGAGAGTGAAAAAAAGTTAATAATAATAAGATGTTTGGTTGAAAAGCACTCACTTTCCAGCTTTCCGTTTGAGTTCAATAGCTTCAAATAAACGACCTTCTTGTAGTAATTGAGCCGCATGCTTTCCCAGCAATGCACTGATCTGTGGCATTTTATATTTTTGTGCAAGTTCAACCGCTTGACCCCATTGCTTTAGATTGACGCAGGTATTAACTGCCGATTTAACATCGCCTTGTTTTAAAAATGCTGAAACCGCTTGATCACACATTCCAACACTGGCTAACATTTGTCCCAATTTTCCAAGCAACGGACTCTTGTCCGGCAATTTATTGATGCAATTTTCAAGTTCATTGAAATCCTCCAGGTAATACATTGAATCCATAAGGCCTTCGATGTCGTGCGCTTTTTCAAAATATTCTTTGGCACTTTCCCTAGATGAATAGCAAATTGAATTTAGTTCACTTTTGTTTTGATAAATATTGTACATGTATATAAAACCCACCAATTGCGCAAATTGTGAAAATGATCCCCAATCTCTTTCCAAGCTTGTTCCATTTGTTGATCGGAAATGCCAGGTCCGATTCGATACAATTGTACCGTTCGAAACCAATCGCATAACGTTTGTCGCAATTCAATGGCCAAATCACGTCGATCAGCATCGATATATAATACTTCGGCTTCATCAAAATTACCAAAAAATGCAGCCACTTCAGCTTTTTGTAATGCTTCACTCTGAAATGTTCGCAATCGTTTGATCAATTGAATACCCGGATAATTTGTACATCGAACGAATGCATTTTCGGCCGTTTCAAAATCGAGATTTTTCAATGACGCTTCGGCCAATAACCGCCATAGCCGAGGATGTGGATTATCTTCAATAAATTGCTTTGCCTCTGAGATGCCAACATGCGCCAATAAGTCTTCCGTATCACGAAGTGATTTGACACGTAATTGCAAGATATGTGCATTTTTATCGGGCGTTGCTGATCCACTAATAATTTCATCTAAAAGTACTCCGGTTATTTCAAGATCTTCAAAACTACAAATGTAGCCAGAACATGAAATCGGCTCCTCTGGATCAGCTCCACGAAAAACATACATTCTTGTTTTTTCCATGATTGCCAGTAATTGTGGATTATCTTTGGCCCAGCACATTGTCCACACATCTTTTCGTTCGATGCGACCGATTCGCATTGAACCCGCCGATAATTCGCGACTATCAACCAAATCGATTGCCTGCAATAGTCCCGTCGAATCAATGACAGCCGCACGAGTTGAATTACTATTTATAGCCATTTTATAGGGTTGATTTGTGAGCGAATGACGATTTCGTAGGGCAACATTTGGTACAGAATATTCATTTATCGTTCCCGATTCGCGGCCAATCAAAAGAATCGATTCTGATATTGTGATACAACAAATTGGATCGAGAGTTGGTTCGGTATTTATTGGCGGCTCATAACCACCTTTGTCCAAGTCATTAATTACTTCAACAATTCCAGACGGTGTATCATCAATGTGATATCGCTTATCTTTTCGTCCTTTCACATTGTGCAGTGTCGATGTACCCTAATCAAAATAATTGTTTTTTTTTTTCTCAACATCAAATTCATTTTGACATTCGATTGTAACATACCTTTGGTGTATGGTATTGCCAAAGCAGAAAATGATTCTTTGACGCAACAATCACAAACTGCGAATTCATCGCGATGAATTGTAGTGATAAATCAATGTACTTGGCTAGAGAGGTAAAAAAATGCGTTCGTTTAAAAAAAAAAATACTTAAATTTCCAATATCTGATTGAACTTACAATCAACGGTGGTGCTTATTGAGTTGCAAATCAAAAGTTGATATTTTTTATCCTGTTTACTATTTTCAATCAAAATATTCGGATCTTTTGACGATAGACTTGGACATTCAACGGCAATAACACAATGATCAGAACTGGATGCCATGGCAACCGGTTCATCGATGTGTTTGTTATTTGATTGATTTGATATTGTATCCCAAAATGTGACCACATAATTTCCCGTCTTTGTTGTATCCGCATTTAGATAGCAAACGGTTTTACCAAAATAGCACCACATATAGTCGGGCCGAATGTTTGCAAAGTAAATAAACGAATCAACGGCCAATGCAATTCGAAGTGAATGACCCTCCCATGCTAATGCACTGATTTCGTGACCAGGAATTTTTAATGTTCGAAGATGCTACAAAATTGTGTGATTTCAAAATAATAATAATACTATAGGACTCATTTTGTCATCGCTTACATCACCGAATGCCGAGTAAAACATCACAATGTTTGAATCTTTCTCACTGCCATACAGTCTCATTCCACATACAGCCAGTACGGATCCATCATGATTCCATTGACAATCAGTTGCTTGTAGTTTTGTATCGACAATTATTGGCACTATATATACGAAACAAGTTAATATTCAAAATCGAGTCTAAACGAAAAAAACCTGCACTCACCGTCGTCATTTTCGTTTCGCATAATTTGAAATTTGCCGGTTTCATAGCAAATCGCCAGAGATGGTCGAGTGAACGATTGAATGCGATGAAACCACGACATTCCAACCACTGATATGCTTCTTGTTGGCCCAAGTGGTACGCATTGAATGTTTAATTTCATCTGGAAATATGATGGTTTAAAAAGGAATTTAAATGTAAACATTCGTAATGGAATTTCATTCAGAGAGTACAAACCACAAACGATCCTTGATTATCATAAAGGTGTACTTCACCGTTTTTCAAACTAAAAAGCAATAAACGACCATCAGGATTCCATTGGACGCCAGATAATGAGGTATTTTTCAGTTCTTTGCCCCAAATCCGATTACCGTCTACCGAACCAACAATGATCGCACCATCTTCGTACACAATACATATCTGTTGACCATCCGATGTCCAACACATGCCTATCAAATCAAATTCATTATAAAACTTTTCACTGGTAAAAAAGAATTCCGATCCAAACCTTTAACTGTTGATTTCTTGCGATCATTTGTCATTTCCTCGTACCAAGTATCCTATTGGATAAAAAGAAAAGAAAATCTCTCATTTCAATTCACAATTGTTCTACAATAAATTCAAATTCACCTTGTACATCATCCAAACCATAATGACACCATCACGATCGGAGGTGGTTAACTTTTGTTGAGCATCATTCCATGTTACAACTTGAACTGTGTCTTTGTGCCCTTCCAGTGATTGATTCATGCATAAATTATTTTGCGGTGCAGCAGCAGTGCCATGACTTTGATTATTGTTCAAGACATTTGTCGGCGATTCTAATTTAAGCACTTTTAATAAACCTTCATCGCCTCCGACAGCTATGTATCCCTGTGTTTTATTCCATGCAATACAATTGATTCGCGTATTATTTGGAATTGCGATCTAAATAAATGAATGAAATTAGAACAAATCAAATCGAATCACACAAACATTCATCCGCTTTAATACAAACCTTTTTACTTAAGTACACAAACATTTTGAATATTTGGAACCGGTTTTTTGTTTCGTTTTTTTTTTAATCAAAAGATCATTCGTTGCATATTTTCATCGACATTAATTTCGATAGAATTTTCACCATTTTTGTTTCACTCTTTGGATTGGTAACCAATGAATGACAGGTGTATGTTAGTAACCGTCCGATGCCAAACAAATGCCATCGTCGTTCAAAACAATGCACTAACACAACCACATATATTCGCACCGCATCACAATCGCTGTTTATGTGTAAACGCATCGGAACGCAACATAGCAGAATCCAACTGGGTGGTACCGCCATAAAAAGAAACATGAATTCTCGTTGAATTTCATTTTATCGAAAAATCTTTACATTTCACATTTTCTTTGACGATGATTTTGCGATTTGTATGCATGCACAATACTTAATCATATTAAATTTCACCGCTTTGAATCGATATGAGAAGATAAAATGAGAGAGAGAGAGAGAGAAATATTGTTGTAATCAAACAATCGCAACGTATAAATACGGCAGAAGTATATGTCTATATATACCTCGAGAATCGGCAGTTTCATTGATCACCCAAGGCCAAGGTCATGACTAAGGTTATTCTATTTCAATATTCTTGACTAAATTCACTGTCAAGTTCACATCGAAGGACGCGAATTAGAATGAATAAAAATACATAACATAATGTTCAGGAATAAAATGTCAATTACAACAATACATACACACTTAAGTGTATGCCATGCACACTTCAATTTAGAATTTTGTTTTTATTTGCTTTTATTTAACAAAAGTCCGAACATTGTATAGAACGTAAAAAAAATGAGCATTCAAAGTATAAGTATTTTAAATTCATGCATCAATTGCACTCTGAACTGAGTTTCGGAGATAGGAAATGGTTTCCTTTTGGTTTTCCGAACGAATAACAGCAGTACCTGACACTATCATATTTGCTCCAGCCTAAAATGGATATCATTTCGATATTAATTTCTTTTAAAAAAAAGGATAAATAAATGTTATGACATGAACAAACCTTAGCACACTGATGAATTGTTTCTGGTCCAACGCCGCCGTCGACTTCAATGTCAAGCGATGGATAGTTCTTACGTAGCCATTCCACTTTTGGCATTTGATTGGCCATGAATTTTTGACCACCAAATCCAGGTTCAACAGTCATAATCAAAATCATATCAGCAATTGGAATGTATTTGGTGACTGCTTCGAGATCGGTGCCCGGTTTAATAGCAAGGCCAACTTTCATGCCGGCTTCGCGAACCTTTCGGCAAATTTCATCGACGTCATCGAGTACTGGCTCAATGTGAAATGTATACTGATCAACACCGGCATCGGCCATACTCTCTATCCATTGTTGGGGCCGTTGAACCATCATATGCGTCTCAAAAAATGCATCCTATATGAAGAAAAAAAAACGAATGATTCCGATATCAATACCGATTCCGATTTTTTTGTCGTTTACCTTGATTTTAGAGCGCAAACACTTAACAACTGGATGACCGAAAGTAAGGTTAGGTACAAAAGTTCCGTCCATAACATCTAGATGTAAATAGTCGGCACCATTTTTCAGTAATTTTTCCGATTCTTCGTACAATTGTGATAAATCGGCATTCAAAATTGATGGACCAATTTTCGCTTTCACACTCATTTTTCGATCGTTTTTTTTATTCACACCGAAATATATGCACTACGGAATGTCAAAGGAAAAAATTACAAAATGCAAAATCGAAAAGAAAAAAAACTGATAAGAAATCGTCAAAATACGGAACAAAATAAGTTTTCAAGTAAGAATTTCGTTATTTAATAAATGCATTTGTGTACAGTATTCAACGCAATATAACGCACCGTTGCCATCTATCAAATGTGACATTTGTTAATTATGACAGTCATTGCCAGCTAAACAATAACAGCAAACGTACTCAGTTCTTAGTGGAAAGTCAGCATTTGAAAATCATTCAAAGAATTAGTTTTTTCTTCGGATTTCCTTTTTAGAAAAACAAAATGATTACCTCAAAGAGAAAATTCCAATTAATTGCGATGCTTGTCGTTTGTTTGATAATCGCTGTGAGTGCAGGAAAGAATGATGATGATGAGAAACCGGCATGGGCAAAGAAGAAAATCACAGACTATTCAGATGCGGATATGGAACGATTGTTGGATCAATGGAACGTAAGTCGTATTCTTGTTTGGCAATGAGAATCAAGCGAGTGAATAAAACATGTAATATTTCTAGGAAGACGATGATGATGGTGATCCAGATGATGATGTGCCCGAACACTTGCGACCAGCACCACAAATCGACTTATCCAATATGGACTCAAGTAATCCCGAGAATTTGCTGAAAGCATCGAAAAAAGGCAGAACAGTCATGACATTTGTAACTGTATCGGGAGGTCCAAGCCGACTTGAGGCCGAAGAAATCACAAAAGTATGGCAAACTAGCCTTTGGAATGCAAACATTCAAGCTGAAAAGTAAATAAAACTGATACTTCCTCTTTTGTTTTCAAATTTGTGACTAATCCGGATTTTACTCAATTAGGTATATGATTGATGATAATCGAGCGATATTTATGTTCAAAGATGGCAGTCAAGCATGGGAAGCCAAAGATTATCTCGTTGGTCAAGAGCGATGCGAAAGCGTATCGGTGGAAAACAAAGTATACCCGGGAAAAGGAAGTCCCGACGGGGGAAAAGATGAACTCTAAAGAAACCAATTTTCATTATTTGATAGAGAAAGTTTCTGTTATTTTCAAATCAACCATCTGCAGCTGAATGTCTTCGAACAAATCATAAAATTATTACAAATAACAACTGTATAGCACAAATTGCATTTATAAGAAAAAAAAAGATCTTTTGTTAAATAAATAATTGTAAAAAATGAACATTTCTCGTACTATATACATGTAGTTTAAGCGTAAATGAATTTAAGTCTTTTTAGGACACATAGAGAAATGAAATAATAGAGATTATGGATACTTTTGTTACTGCCAAAGTTATAGCTAATCGAAAACCCGTGATAGAAATTCAAGATTGACACCGCTTGGACATTTATTGATGTCCGCTACTCCATATAAAAAAGCAATTTTCATCAAAGCCAGTGGAGCGGTATTTTTTTAGAAAAGAAAATGAGTGATTATAAGAAAAAACAAACAACATGACATGGCATTTTTTTTAAATAAAAATAATATAAATAGAAACTATTTAACGAGTAGAACTACTGCAACATTCGTCGGCAGTCGAAAACCGTATGATGTTTGAAAACACAAAACGGCGATGTCATTCATAAGACGCACTAAAACGCGATGATAAACATCACTAAAACGCAACGTTACTCGCCGTTCGTTCGTTTGTTCGTAGTGTGCCTTTATAACAGACAGAGCTAAAAACACCTTTATAAGTTTCAAATACGCGTTACGGTGTTTGACAGTCGTATTTCAGCTTTTTAGCTGTCCATACACATCAACATATATATGATTATCACGTAAAACAGAGACAAACCTATTTGGATTCGTAAAAGTGTGAGCGAAAGATATTGAACATCGAAGAGTGTACGCACATCTTCATGTACGAAAATTTATTTTTTATGTTTTTTTAATCGGCATCGAATTGAACAACAACCAAATATTGAATTGAGTGTAAGCATTGAATTTTCATGTTTTATTTTGCGTGATAGTGTAATTTTTTTGCATAAAAAGTCGAAAATAAAGTGACAGATAATGAAATTGAAATGATGAAAGTGAAATTAACACATGTCATACGCATTAAATGTTTAAATCTATTTTCTCTCATTTTTCGGTCAAAGTGTACTTGATTCGAAATATTTTATTGTATTTATTCATGTCATCAAAGTCAAATGTTTTTTTGATAATTTGTGGTGCAATTAAAACAAAAAATAATTCAATTCAAGAATTAAAAAAAGAAATAAAAACTCTCCACAAAACTGATTAAGATGAATGAGATTCAAAACAAACTTACACATCGAACGGTTTTGTGTGACAACATACACACAACCATCATGACACATTATTTAATCGCATGCCAATGGTTTTCATTGTGAAATTTGCACAAAATACGATAAAACAAACGTTTGCTTCGATAGTTTTTTTTTTGATTTGGTTTCGTTTGTGCGAAAACATTATGGCGTGAGTGTCTGTGTATGATATGCCGCGGCGAATAAATGTTGTTGTTTATTTGTTTTCATCACTTTGCGTCTATCTCTCACACACCAACATTCGACATTCGTCACATCGTACTCTAACTGCACTCTGAATCTGGGCTGGTTGATTTTCATTTTGTTTCACACTGCGAAATATTTTTACCTTTTGGCAAATGCTACACTTCTCCTTGGTATGATATAACCGAGCGTATCAAAAAAAAAAACGACGAGCGTATGTGTGAGAGAGAAATAACAATAAAAAACAGCAGAAATTTCATTCTTTTTGTGTTCCGCTCCACGGCCGAATATACGACCATGTGTGCACAGTAATAATATATTCGCGCATTCAATTCAAAATATGATGTCATCGTTATCAAAGCATTTGCCATAACAAATGGCTGGCTTAACTTTGGCGCAAAACCTCTCTGTATTGGAGTGAATAAAAAGAATGGAGAAAACAAAATAAATTTAAAATCAAAAATGCTTCGAACCATATTCCTATATAGTCAAATGAAAGAAAAACCAAGCCATAAGAAACTCAAGATAACATTGACAAAGAATCACATTAGTTAATGTGAAATAGAAACCTGTTTCATTTAATGCAGTTTATATAAAACCATCTTCTTTTTCTGTTTCTTTTTTTCCCCATCAACTGTGCAACATAGTGAAAAAAGTTTTTTTTGTAGTTTTTTTGGCGTGCAGAGAAGAAAACATATGATAAAAAAAAGACGAGAAGGATTTAGTTAGAGAATATTCGAAACGAACACCAGTTGAGTGAACGTGCGTATATTGTGGAGTGTTATAGAGTGACGACGGAAAAATGGTCTTCGAAAGTATTGTTACCGATTTGATGAATCGCTTTTTGGGCGATTTCATCGAAAACTTGGACCACAAGCAACTCAACATCGGAATTTGGGGTGGTAAGTACATCAATGACCATCTGTGCCATTTGACCATTCACATTTGTTAACTGTCCATAATAATTAAGATTTGTTTAAATTTCCGCAAAATGTCGTTCACATTTCCTCAAATTTTTTAGTACATTTTATCGATTTTTCCGATGGAAGCATATGCAACGAACAGTTTTTTTGTTTTCATTTTGTACTGATTCCGTGCTTAACAACGATAAAATACCATTCAGCACGCACATATTTCTTGAAAGCCAGTTAAGCTATTCAAGTATCACGTCACGCAACGAAATGAATGTATATGTCTCTCTATGAGTGGACTATAATCATAAGGGATTTATAGACGTTCCGTAATGAATGTGTTGTTGTAAAATGTTTTGCTTATTCTAAGTAGCTACTTTTTTTTTGTTTACATCGCTGTTCAGAAGTTTGCTTGACCTGCCCTAATGTAATGTCTTTGGTTTTCATCTATCGGAGCAGCGACACATCCATAAATCGTTTCCGAAATTTATAAATGACATCGTCAAACATTTAGTTTGCTTTGAACAAACAATTTTTATATTACTTACTTACTGTGTAAATATGTATAAAAATCAGACGCAAGATCGAAATGGAATTGAGTTATTTTGCATAATTCTACTTGGTGAATTTTCCAAGTGCATGATAATTGTGCTTAAGTTTCAATTAGCACACATTTCGATTATTAATGAGCTGGGTGTGTTGTCACACACACACACACATTCCGTTGTGTATAAGGATGATTTCTATCTAACGTTGTGAAATGCGATGCAAATGTTTCTTTGTTTTGTCTTCGTTACTTGCGAATTATATCGCACGCAATAGGTCGGAACAACGAATTACAAAAATAGATCGTCAACATTTGCATTCGGTAATAAACGTTGGACCTCGACTATGGTTGCCGGCTGTGTCATAAATAACATGATTAATAATGTTCTTTATTTTTAATTTTTCATGAAAAAGAAAATGTTGAAGGAAATTTTTGCAATTTATTATTTCCATATGGGATTGAATTTTTCACGTTCAATATGCTTAACCCGACGTTAGTATGTGCCAGTGGATTTATGACTTTCAACTGATTAAAATAAATAACGAAAACACCGTTGAATTTATAAGGCATAGTGAGCATTGCTCATTGTCGAATTAGTTGTTTTGCTATTTTCGATTTATTTATTTCAATTTGATTACAACTTAACGAACACTTATTTTGGCCAAGTGCCAATTAAACCAATTGCGTTTGATAAATTGATTTATTTATGTTTTTTTATATCAATTGTGTGTTATCGAATGGATGTACGCCCGTTTTTTTCGTAAATGAATGCGGGCTGATGAGAATACATTTTTGAGAATGTTAGCGACCCTGACCCGAAAATCATCCTTTAGTTTATGACATAACAACGCATCAAATATTGAAATATTTCTAAAAGCAAATCTTTGCCGGTTGAAAATGCAAATTATCTATGCTTCGTTGACTTTTAAGTTTGTAGAGCCCACACATTGAGAATCAACATAGAAAAATGATTACAGTATTCTTATTATCGTCTTGTTTCTGTCAAACTGTTGAGTGTGTAAAGAGTCATTCATTCTTTGCTGATAACAGATTACTCATATTCTATAACTTGTTTCATTTCATGAAGCGTCAATAGTAATTCAAATTGATAAAGTATTGCTAGAAAATGGCATTGCTAAGAAATCATTTCTTGAAATAGATATTTCATCATTTTACGACTAACAATAGACACAGAGAGAAATTTAAACGGTTGCCATAAAACCACTTTCGTTAAACATAATTACACGTCGACTACGCCTTAAAATGACGTGAACCATTTTAAAATCCGTTGACTTTTGCTGGCCATATTTTTTTCTTCTTCTTTTTCTGAACGAAATTCAGTTTGATGAATTTATGTTTGATTTTTCTGGTTTGAAGATCTTCAAATAGTAGACACTGTAAATTGTGCAAATATTTACAACAATGCAATGCAAAATTTGCTTATTTTATTCTCAAGCATGTTCGCACACTTCTATGGTTACTGATTCATCAAATATTTTGTTCAAACAGCAAACGTTGACTTATCTTATGTCTTGAAGCAGAAATGAATTCTGTCGACAATCCGGCTCATGTAACTAATATTGTTGAATCAATGGAAATTTAAAACTTTTACGATCATTGTCGCTGATGACTCGCCATTTTCATGGTGCACTCAATGACAATAACTGGAAACAATAAAAACATGAGAGTTGCACATGCATACTGAGCGCAATAAAGATATTTTTTATGCCTGCAAAATGAGAGAAAAGCTTTTTTTGTTTGTTTGAAAACGAGTTACGGCGCTTCTAAACGAAATATTTAAAACAATAAACATAATGTAAAGTAAAACGGCATGATTAGAAAATGTCATAGAATTTAAATTTTATTGTTATTCATGAAAAGAAAAAACGTTGTACAATCTGATTCAGATGGTTATGAAAAATTATTACTAAAATTCTTTGAATTTTGTTCACAGTACATTAGACGTACTATTCACATATTATTCTTGCGATAATTTTTCTTTATTTTATGTCATATTTCACATAAAATATATTCAACGGTAATTTTTTTGTTAGTTTTTAAATTTCAATCCACCACTTTGCCGAGGAAATAACTGCGGAAATAATGATATTGCCACTCATTCAACCAAAAGTCACACACAAAATCATTTGCCGTTGAACTGTATTAAATTCGTTTGATAGAGAAAAAAAACATAGAAATGCTTTTAATCCATTATATCCGTAAATAATTGCACGATAAATATTACAAGCTACAGAAGATTGAACAAAACAAACACCAATATTTAAAAAACGATAACCAGAAATTGTGATTTATTGATTTAGTTTGAAGTGCATTTTTCACCTGAATTTTATGAAAGAAATCCATGTGGCTGAAAAATCATTAATTAGATATTGTACAAATGTGTTCCTTATCAGTTGGAATATCACATGTGGCTGAGTTCAGTCCCGTTTTTCATGCGAGTGAAATAGAGGACTAACCACCACATTAATTCACAGAAGTGAAACAAAATATCCTCTCATTCACTTTTAAACAAATAGGAACTGACCTCAACACATGCCATATTTTTGTTGGCTGAACATATCTTAGCACAATGTCCGAATTTTTTTTTCCCGTTCGTTGTTTATGGTTGACTGGTTCACTTATTTTACTACAAAACCAATAAGTTTGTAATTAAATAGTAGTTTTCATTAGGCTGTCTATTGAAATAAATAGATTATTTTTTGTGATACATCTTTTGGGCAAGTACAATGCAAATAACAAAAATTAAAGAAATTAAAAAAAAAGCATTTTTTGTGACGCAAAAAAAATTAACAAATACGAAAAATAACACACATTCACGCTTCGTGTAAGATGAATATCCCAAACGCACACACACATTGAATCATTACTTTGTTTGGATATTATCCTTTGTCTCTTTAAAAGATAGTTCAGTGGCCGATAAAAACCACTTAAAATGTATACATATCACTGAATAAAAACTGGTCCAAATAATCTGAATATTTGCGTCAAAGAAACTTATACTGATAGAGTCTGACTCTCAATTAAAGCACCAAATTTGTTGTATAGCCATAGTTGTCTTAGTTGTTGTTCAAACACACTTTTTTTACACGATGTCATGATTGTCCTTTAATAGTTCGACGCTTTCATGTGGGCATTCATCGTGTTCTTTTGTTCGTTTGTTGTTTGTAATATTGTTTATAACGGGACTCAATGAATAGAAATAGATGGCAAACGAGACAACAGCTATTGATATTGTTGTATTCGTATGAATTGGAATATTAAATAATAGATAGCATAAAATTGCGGTGAATAATAGTTCTAAGGCACTGGCAAATGTTTTAAGAATTGAATTTAAGTAACGCAAAAAGAAACTGGTAACAATTCCAATCGCCGCATTATTTAAAATTATAATAATCACATTGAACGTGAACACGGTTTTTAAATTGGCCATATTAATGGCATCCATTGAATTTCCCTGAAGTATTAATAATACTACGTTACATACGATTGAATCAACGTACATAAATACATTTTGTACGTAAATATTAACGCGAGCGCCAACATTTTTCAGTAAATATTCATTGTACACGCCAGCCAAACATGAGCATATCAATTGAATAAAAATATAAACGGCATCTATGCTGAGATCAAATCCAGTTGTATTTTTGTTCGAAAAAGTGGCATTCTTCGCGTTGTTTGTGTTTATCACATCGGTTTTTGTCATTGTCATCGATACACTTGTGTTGCTAGTATTGCTGAACATATCACCGAAATTTAACTGCTTCACCATGCATCCAAGCGTCAATAATAGCAATGAAAACCATTGTCGTCGTGTTAATATCTTGTGGAATATCACCTACATGCAAACGAGACAGAGTGCAAACGATAATAATTCGAAACAGATTCAGTATTGAGAAGAAAATGCATATGGATCTAAATAGATGACGACATTCGTGTATTGACATCAAATAAAAGCCAATTGACCCTTTTGACAAATTACACAATTCAAGCTCACCTGAAATAAAACTCCCGTTATTACAACTCGAAATTGAAGCAGTAAATAGTATGTCGTTGGATCGAATGTTGATAAATTTTTAAATGTTAAATTATTGTAGATACAATACAAAAGTGACGGTATGAAGTATAGCAATAGCAAATGCTTGTTGTCAATTGTTTCCTTAACTAACTTTGTAGCCGGATCACTGCAAAAAAAAAGATACATCGCAAAAAAATATATATGTATGAGTATATATCCGTTTCAGTGTTATCACACTTTGATATTGAAGTGTTCTATTTCTTAAATGCGGTTGTGGGTTGAATGGCCGTCACTTGATATGACACGCGACAGAAGTTAAAGTCGAAAAATGTTGATATATACCTTCTACAATATAATCCAACCGATGCAATTAATTTAACCAGTTCAGTGATTAAAACCACACAAATTGTATTATAACTGTAATTACTGGATTCATCTTGTGAGGCCGTCACCAAAATACCTGAAATGAATCCAAAACAAAATCAATTTTGAACGGAATTTTTTGATTTTTCGGACGATAAAAATGTATAAAAGAACAATAGATTGCATAGCAATTTGTCATTCATTTTATTATCTTTTCGTCTCTTTCTCACTCTTTATTTCCTACCTTGACTGATGAACAAACTCATATAGGCGACGAAAATGCATAGTGCTGTTTTTGTTGGAAAAACTTCTGACCAAATTATGCCGCCCATCTTATTCGCTCGGTTTTTGTCGCTTTGCGTTGATTTGTACAATCGATTCGATTCTCACGTTTTGAATATCATTCTTGAATTATTATTTTTTTTATTGCAAAGGAATATTACTTATTTTTTTATCACCACCACCTAGATTCTTATCTGGGTTTTTTCCCATTCAAATTCAATAAAAACATAGAATCAACCATTCGTATTTTTTACACATTTAGTACAAACACTTCGGTTTCACTGACTTCATAGCTCCAAATTCATGTGGCTAATTTGACAGCTCTATACATGTATTGAATATGTCTACTTCAATGCGTCGAACGAACTCGACGTTTTTATTCGATACGATACGCAAAGTCACATTTCTATGTGAATCCCTATTGGAAAAATTTGAATAAAAACCGCTTTAAAATATGTGGCCACATTTTGACATTTTCTTTTTAATACTAACATCAACAATTGCAAAAAAATGATTGTTTTTTTTTAATATTTAAGGTGATGTCGTATTGAAAAATTTGCAGCTTAAACAAAGCGCATTGAAAGAATTAGATTTGCCCGTTCAATTAGCTTACGGTCAACTGGGAAAATTAGTTTTAAAAATTCCATGGAAAAATTTATACAGTCTTCCGGTTGAAGCAGATGTTGAAGATTTGTACTTGTTGGTTGCACCAAATCAAGCCGTTAACTATGATGCTGATAAGCAGAAAAAAGTCGAATTGGATACGAAAAAAGGTGAACTATCCAAATTGGATGAGGCCAGAAAACGTGAATTGGAAAAGGACAAGCCAAAGGCTGATAAAACATTTACCGAAAAACTAGTCGCACAAATCATTAACAATGTACAAATACGCATTCGAAACGTACACATTCGGTATGAGGATCGTTCAACATCGACCATACCATTTGCGCTTGGTATCACATTGGGCGCACTTGAAGTTCAAACCACCGATGCTGATTGGAATACGGCTTTTGTATCCGAAGCGCTCAGCAAAATATTCAAAGTGGCTAAACTTGATGGATTAGCGGTATACATGAATTGCAATACACCATTATTCCAAAGTCGATCGACCAATGAATTTACACAATTGTTTATGGACACAATTGCTACAAGTGAATCACGACCGGAAAATTTTACATACGGTATGTTGTTATCTAATAGATTCTTAAGAAAATTTTAAAGTCATCGAATGATGTTCCTCTTTTTTTTTTAAAAATGGAATTTAGTTCTTGGACCCATCACATCTGTGGCCAAACTGAAGTTGAACATGAATCCAGAATTGGATTCTCCACCATTTGAAGTGCCCAAAGTTGATTTATACTTGGAAATGGAGAAATTGGCCGTTGGCATCACTCGAGCACAGTATCAGGTATGTTAATGAATTTAGGTGATAAGTTTGAGAGAGATTTTTATTCTTTTTTTTTTGTTTCTTTTACAGCGACTCATTGAACTGGCCGATGGAATGGGTTCAATGACAAGAGGAATACCATACAGAAAATTCAGACCATTCAATACACGTAAGTAAATGAATCGATTGAGATAAAAGAATTATCCTTTAATTCCTTTCTATTTTATGTAGCTTATAAAGGAAATTCAAAACTTTGGTGGAAGTTTGCATACAATTGTGTTATGGAAACAGAAATAAAACGACGCAAACGTGATTGGTCATGGGAAAATATGAAACAACATGTGAATATGTGTCGAACGTATGCAGATGCATATCGAACGAAATTGACAGCAAAGAAGCTTACAAACGATATACAACAATGCCTTGATCATCATGAAGAGCATTTGGATCTGTTCAATTTGGTATTGATTCGTAAGCGTGTCAATTTTGAAGTTGAACAGTCGGGCATATTACAAAAGCCAACAGTCCAAGCTGGTTGGTTTTCCAGTTGGTGGGGAGGTGGAAAAAGCGATGAACCAGCTGACAAGGATAAAGATATTTGTAAGTTGATCACATTTGGCACCGAAATAAATGCAAACTAATTTTTAAAAAATCTCCCATCCAATCTAAACAATGAACAGTGAATCAATTTAAAACGGCCATGACCAATGAAGAAAAAGCAAAATTGTATGAAGCAATTGGTTATAGTGAAGGTGTAGTGGATCTTCAGTTGCCCGAAGAATATGTGGCAATAACAATGCATTTTAATTTGAAATTGTTGGAGATATGTGTTCGCAATGAAATCGTCAAGCCAACCGATTTGGAAATGTCATTGTCAAACGTGTTATCATTACAAGTGTCGGGAGTCTCTTGTGAAATTGACCAACGTCCCGCCTCATCTGGCCTCAAGTAAGACATTTTATCAGAAGAAAATGTTAAGCAATTGCGAAATAGTTACGAAATCAAAACATGCTTAAAATTCATATTATTTCAGACTTGATTTAAAAATGAGAGAATTCACTGTATTTGGTTACAAACAATCCGACTACTTGCCAGTTATGGTAAAATCGATATTGGAATCAACGACCGACAGTTCACTGTTGGATATTAAATTTGAGATGAATCCATTGGACAAGCAGTGCGATCAACGGGTCGACGTTTATGCTTGCCCATTGCAAATCGTCTATGATGCTGAAACAATTATTCAGCTATTACAAGTGTTCAAAATGCCTTCAAATGCAAACTTATCAGAGTAAGTTAAATACAAAACATTATTGGACGTATTTCGAGCTATTTATTTCAACTGTTTTGTGCTCGGTGTGTATTAGATTGACGGACGCTGCCGCAGATAAATTGTCAAATTTCAAAGAACGATCAGCAACTGGTATACAATACGTTATTGAAAAGCATACACGGCTTGAAGTGAACGTATCCGTTCAACCAAACTACGTTATTGTTCCGTACGGTGGAAAATATATTGAGTAAGTCGTTTGAAAAAAAAAAGGTAAATTTTCATTATAAGCAAGTTTTTAATGAAATTCATTTGAATCGTTACAGAAATAAGGTCCCATTAATGATCATCAGTTTGGGTAGTATTTTGTTGAAATCAGATCCAAGAATTGAAGAAAGAGATGTGGCCGCTATGCATGGCGCTGGTGCCACATCTGAAGACATCTTAAAAACAATGATGGACCAAGCCTATGACAAATTTAATTTGAACATTGACAATATTCAGATTTTATTAGCTAAACCATGTGATCATTGGCAAGATGCGTTGACTCAGGGCAAAATATCTCGTCTTCATTTATTAGAACCGACATCATTGCAAGTTAAAGCCGCCTTATGTGTGGTCGATGACGATCCACGTCTTCCAAAAACGAGATTACACGCAAAAATTCCAAGCGTTGGTGTTTCAGTTACAGAACAAAAAGTCCTTGATGCACTGTCACTAGCAACAAGTATACCGTTGCCGGAAGGCGATACAACACCAATGCCTTTGAACAAAGTAAGTTCAACAAACAAAAAAAAATGAAAAACCATTACTTATCAAATAATGCGAATGAATGATTTCAGGAGAGTTTATTGGTTGCGTCAAGCATGTCGTTAAAACGGTATTTAGATGAACGACAGTCAAAGCCAAAAATTTTGGAAAATAAACAACGGGACATTTCCGAAGAAGAAATCACTCAATACACCGATTTGGAATTTGGTTTCGAGCTTAACGGTAATAAACTACATAAAATACACAAAAATTCATTTTAAATAAATTCGCTTTTTCTTCCAGAGGTTTCAATAAAGATATTTAAAGACTCCGAACAACTGTTTTCACCAAAATCACCTGGATCAGGTGATGAGACCTCAACAGAAGAATATGCATCAGCAACATGTACGATTTCAACTGAAGGATCGATATCCGAATTGGAATCAATTGGTTTGCCAAAGCAATTGGCATTTTCAATAAAACAATTGGAAATGGCGGTAACTCAACGAACCTATGATTTGAAGGTGTCGATGAAGTGAGAATTCATAAACTTATGCTTAATTTATTTCTTCGTCTGTAAATCATATTTTTATTTGTAGACTTGGCGCAATCTCAATGGCTCAATATCATCATCCAATCGCAACGCCAAATGAACAGAAGAAAATCACAATGATTGAAACACCACGATATGCCGAAACAAATGACTATCTCTTATCGCTATTCTATACAAATGCAAATAAAGATTCGCCAGAATTCACAACCAAATATAAATCAACCGAACAAATGGTTGAAATTAATTTTACCATTTTAATATTGCGGTTGCATCAAGAGGGTCTTACCGAAATTTTACAATTTGCCAACAATTTCCAAACGAAAATGGAGGCAATTTTGAATAAAAATAATGGTTATCATATGGCATCGGCCGGACCGCCATTGGAAACAATTGCCGAAGTTGATGAGCATCCAGAAGAAGAAGATGAGACCAGAGTTGAACAGAAAGTAATAAAGAGAAACACCAAAAAATCGGCAACAGTTGTCGATAGCATTAAAGTTAAAGTCGTTGCGAAAATGGAACAAGTTGCCATTGAAATTGAAAATGAAAACCGACCAATTACCAATTTAAAAATCGAAAATCTAAACGCCGGTGTTATTATGAAGACATCGTATACCGAACTCACACTCAAACTGCAAGACATTGTTGTTAAAGATTTGAACACCGAAACCATTCATTCCACGGTAATTTGTTAATCGATTGTTCTATTTATTATGCTCGTACTGGTGTCATTTAATGTTTATTTAAAAAAAAAATAGATTTTAACGGTGATTGGCGGTGATGCATTGTCATGTCAAATTGTTCTGTTCAATTTGGAAGAAACTTCTGTCTATAATAGCGACGATATGAAAATTGATGTTTCTATGGGATGCGTTAAAATTGTCTTCTTGAATTGGTTCGTCAATTCAGTGTTGGTATGGAAAATTAAAACATTTCTGAAATTAAAATCGTTTAAAAATGATTTCGTCTCTTTTTTTTGTGGTGCCTAGAATTTCTTGGATAATTTCCAAGCCGCACAACAAGCGATTGCTGATGCAAGTGCTATTGCTGCCGAAACAGCCAAACAAAATATGGTCGAAGCATATTCAAATGCAAAACGAATGCTATTGAATGTTCGCATAAAGGCCCCCATTATCGTTGTACCGGTTGACTCAAAATCGCTTCAAGCCATTTCCATCGATTTGGGTCACTTGTGCATCACCAATCGGTGTTCAAACATACCAAATTCGGCGGTGGTAAGCAAAAACAGCTGTTCAGTACAATTGAAACACACTAACATTTACAATATTTTCATGCATTCAGGCTGATCGCAGTCCGGCCATTTTGGATGAAATGAAATTGGAATTGAAAGATATGCAAATTTCAAAAGTGGAAATTATTCAAGCAGGCGGCACTGAAGATGGTTTAAAACATGATGATAACATTTTGAATCCAACATCATTTGCGCTCATTATCAAGCGAAATCTGTCATCCGGTTGGTATAAGGAAATTCCCGAGCTTGATATTTCGGGTCGTTTGAAGAGCATTGTTGTAAGTATACAGAAAATTGATTTTTTTAACAACGGAGAAAACGTCAAGTATTTAATTGCATGAATGCATTGCATTTCCCTTCCATCATAGATGAACCTATTAAGTACCGATTACCAGTTGCTAATGTCGATACTCTCTAAAAATATGACCGAAGGAGCCAATGAAAGAGTTGTCGTTCAAAAACCGGAAATAGGTAAATTTGTGTTTTCTATTGCCATTGCTTATTGAATGTATAATATAATGGAGTGCCGTTTTACCTTTTATTTGGCTTTTGTTGGATTTTTAAGTTTGTCTTATATAAGTTTATTCGGGGTTGTGATTGTGCAATTGATTTTGTTCACATAATTTTAACCAACAATCCTGCACCCTTGTATATAATGATTACGATTTCTCTGGTGACATTTATTTCAAATATAATTTTACTGGATGGTTGGGAATACTGAGAAATAGATATATTTAGACTTTGGAACGAATTGGTCGACCCTGTCGTGGTATTTTGGTATTTAAAGTTTTTATTTTAAAAATATTTGATGTCATGGTCATATTCGGATTCCTTGTCCCAAAACCATGGGCCGGACATCATGGTGATTTGTGTTAGAAAATTAAGCGAATCTCATGTGATTGGAAAAAAGTGAATGTGAGACTCCTCCCGAGTTTTCATTAAAGTTTAACACCGCCATACAAATAATCGCAATGTGGTGTTATATTTCAATAAAATCTCTGGGGAAGTCTCATATTTATTCTTGAACTTTCACATAAATTCATCAATCATACTGTAAAATCACATTTGAATCCATATCACTAGAGATGGTATAGTATATTATATTTTGGCGGACCTTTTATTTTATATTACCTTCTAGATTTACTTTATTATTTGAGTTTTTTTTATATATTTTTATATATAGTTATTTTTTATTTAATATGCTTTTATTCCGCCTCTTTTAATGCTCATTCACCTCCACATTCACTATTGCAATAACCCACCATCCCAATAACCCGAAAAAAAAAAACAATCATTTATCAAAATAGTAACAACACCGACGAGTACCGCGCAAGTTCATTTTACCGATGCTGATGAATTCAGTGTGCTCGCAACTGGTAAAGGTTAGTAATAAAGCTAGTCTATTTGCCTAAATACAAATATTTGAAATGAAACTTAAGTTAATGAATTATAGTGGTTAGTATTATTTGGCGCTTTGTTTGACTTTTAACTTTGCTTTTGATTTGGCTTGTTTGAGAGAATTTTTGATGGAAAACTTAATTCAATTTTTTATTTGCCATTATGGTTGATGGAAAGTGAAATAAAACATTTATTAAATTTCCTTTGAATCAGAATTATCGCGGTCATCGAAACGTGTTACAACAAAGAGCACGAAATCAATAAAGCCAAAGACAAGCAGCGCAGAAAATCAAGTCGTCGCAAGTAATGATAAATCAAAGAAAAAAATTGATACATTCTTGCAGTTCACCTTCCAAATGGATTCGATCGTTTTGAACTTATACACAGGTAAATGATGGTGCATGACTTAATGACAAAGTTAAACAACAAATTCATAAATCCTTTTTTATGTTGATTTAGTTCCCGGTCAAGGTCTTGCTTCATTCGGTATACATTTCTTATCGCTCAAAGGATGCAAACTTGTTGATGAATCATTGAGCGCATCGATTGTATTATGTGATGTACAACTTGACGATATTCGTCCGGATCGACAAAACTTTATTACAAAGTTAGTTTGAATTCAATTCAAAGAGAAATTGCAGTGAAGTGCAGTCTGTTTGTCCGAATAAAAGTTATTGATGTTATTTTCCTAATTTAGATTCATGAAGAAAAAAGAAATCGAAGCCCCGTTGAATAGTAGCGTTTCGGATAAATTGCCAGCTTCGCAATCGTCATCGAACTCGATGGTTGACATTGTTGTGCGCATGCAGCAAGACGATACATTTGCCAATCTCAAAGTGTCAAGTTTCGATTTGATTCTGTCCTTGGAATTCTTGTTGAAAATTGCACAATTTGTGACTGTTCCCGATGATGGGAAACCAGTGACCACAGTGGCAGGTACAACAACTGCTGCGGCTAAACGTAAGACGATCATTATAATTGAAAGATTTTTTGTTGGTATTTATTACATTGCTTGATTTTCTTCGTTATTTTAGCGACCGAAGTGGTTCCGGCAACCGAAACCGATCCAAATAAAAAGATAACCGTTTTAATAAACATTGAACAGCCTGACATCATTCTCGTTGAAGCAATGGATGACATTAATTGCCTGGCATTGATATTGAATGTTAGTTTAGTATTTTTTTTTTTTGGTTTTTACATATGGTGACACTGTTATACACTCACACTTGATTAATTCTGTGGTATGGTATCTTTTTTTTTTTGTTAAATGTAAACAGACCCAAATGGCACTGCGCGTTCGTATGCAAGGCGACAAACAAGTGATCGAAGGCGAAATCGCTGATTTGAAATTTTATCTGTGCGAATTTAATCCGGCCAGACGAAATGCAACCAAACACTTTATCATTCAACCATGTACAATTAGTTTGCATGGAAATACACCTGAAGCGCATGGCATGAATATTAGTCTGTCGACGAGTGATATTCGGATTAATGTTTCACCCGGTATGCGTTGTTCGCTTCAAATTTAGATTTGGGTCAAAGAGACATATCATAAGGTTGAGTTCAATGTGGTTTTTTTTTCGTTTCTTTCTAGCTATTATTGAAATCATTAGCAAGGCAATGTCAACTGTAACAACAACAGAAGCGAAAAATGAAAGTATCATCGAAGAATTGCCCGATCACTCTGATTTGTGGGAAGTTCAAAAGTATCAAGAAGACGATTTTTGGTTTTTGAAAGTTGAAGAAGCCCAAGATACACTTACTGCCGCCGAATACTTTCAGCCAATTGCTGATCGGAAACCGGAAGTGTGCATTGTTGAAGTGCCTTCCATTGTTATTGTCATCGAAACCGGTTTTGGTTATTACACGTATCCGATGCTAGTTATTGAAACCAAAATGAATGCCGAAATTCGCGACTGGAGCTCTGATGTACGTTTTTTTTACCAAAGAAAGTAGAATCAAATGTTCATGTTTAAATGTTCTTCTTTACATATAGATTTCAATTGAGAGTTCGTTATCATTGGGAATGGCATTTTACAATAGCACACTTGCTGTATGGGAACCATTGATTGAGCCAAACGAACGCGAAAAATCAAATGGTCTAACCGAATATCAGCCATGGGAATTGGCGTTCAATTTAAAAATTGAAAAACCGGTAGAAAATTCGCTCACCGAAAGTGAACCAAAAACAAAGATTCAGATATCATCATCGGACACATTGGAAATGTCGGTTACAAAAACCGGTCTTGATGTACTCCAAGATTTGGGACAAGCATTCTCCGATGCAATTAAACCGCAAGGATTGAATAAACCGGATGTTACAGCACCATATATTGTGGAAAATGATACTGGTTTTGATATCGTCATGAATTTGAAGAAAGGTTCATTGAATTTACATTCATCACACTTACCAAATCCGGATGGTTCGACGAATCATTCATTGGTCGTATTCAATACAACATCAACCGAATTGGATCCAAACGAAATTACAACGTGTAAAATTTCGCCGGGTGGTCGCGCATACTTGCAACCAAAACGTGAACATTCATTGGCCAAAATTACTGCCTTCCTTACAAGCGAAGAGAGCCAATTGCAAGAGACACTTTTGCATGTTCTAATTGGTGAAATCGATAAAGAGATTACATTGCCGGTTCATAAAGCCGATCGACGATACTTTCCATTGTATCGTGATACACATCAAGAACCATGGGGTATTATTTCTCACGTCCACACTGAATATGGTAGCACTATAATCACCATTCATGGCGTATTGAAGGTAAAAAAAAAACAAAACAAAAAATGAATAAATGAGAAAAAACTGATAGCACATTTTCCGTTTCATAGGTTAAAAATCATTTTTCAACTGCTGTCAACATTTTCCGTAAACGAAACGGAGCCCTCATTGAAATTGGCCAAGTTGAACCAGGATCAACATTCAATGTACCATTGCATGCACTCTATGCTACGCACAAAGAATTATTCTTTTCAGTTTCAAATTATAAAACATCAGTTCAAGGCTTCAATTGGAAAGAGAATCCAAGCGATTTTAAATTAATGAAATATTTGCAATGCGATCCGATTCATACATTTGAACCGTTCTATATAACGGCAATTCGTGAACGCGAAGAAGTTTACCATGAAGTGACGACAAAGTATACGATGTTAAGTGCATGCTATGTTATTAATTTGAAACCACCACTTTATCTACGAAATGCATTGCCAATTGATATTCAAATTTCGGTGTCTGGATGCACTGTGTCTCAAATAGAAAGAGAAGCAAAAGAAGCAACGCAAAATAACCATGACGTTGTCAAAGAATTCCGTGGTCCGCATAATGCTAGTCTAACAAAATCCGATTTCCTTGATTGTGGTGAGAAGACTGTGAATCCCGGCGATTTACTACATTTGCCAACAGTTAAAACAACAGCCAAGGAAGGCGAAAGAAGAAGCCTGATTGTGGCCAGAGTAAGTGAATTTTGAAAAATCAAATCTAAAAAGAAACACTCATTCTTTTGCAATTTTCATCTAGTTGGTTCAATATTTGGAAAAAGATTGGTCATGTACTACCGAAGTACCAGCAAATCCACCCGAATTTGCTGTATGGTCATTTAAATCATATGATTCAGACGAAGTAATGTCGATTGAATTGGGTGTCATGTAAGTTTCCATTTAAATGATATACAAACCAAACATGTATCTCACATTTCCATTTTTTCTACTGATAGGTTTGAGAATCGTTTGGGAAGTCTACAAATGACCGTTTACTGTCCATTCTGGATGATAAATAAAACTGGTCTCATGCTCAACTACAGAGTAAGTTATTCAATATTATGTTATATTTAAAAAATAATAATTTAAAAGTGGAATATACACTGCTAGAATGACCAATCATACTTCCCGAACATTTATATATTTATCTTAATATTTATTCTATTTATTGTCACCGAATTTTTCTGAAAAAAAAAAAAATTTTTTTTAACCAAATATCATTGGAATGTTTGTATTGCGTGTGTTTCTTGTTTATCATTCAATCGAAAACTTAATGTGTTAAAGAAATCAAGAAAAACCGAAAAGCATGAGTCTGCTGGCAATGTACAGGTTGGTCGATGTCATTTAAACCGTATATATTAACAAAATGTACAATATTTTCAGTTCGATTTGGTTTAAATGGGTCTTTGATAATTACGCACCCCGTTATTTAGTTGGTTTTCGGTTTTTTAAAACCTTTATTTCGCCTTATTATTATTCCTTTAATTAACCGATAAATGTTGAATAATTGTAAATTCGTCCAACCATTAGCGCATTTGAATCTAATTTATGTTCTGAATTCATCTTTTCAGTCGACCGACGAAAGTGTGAATGTGTTGTATCATCCGCCAGATTGGGAAGGTCCAATACTTTTCTCATATCGTGAAAAAGTATTTTTTGGTAAAAAACGTGCTGCTGTTCGAGTCGAAAATGGCGATTGGAGTGAGAAATTTGCATTGGACGCAGCTGGTTCAACTGGTTTAGTTGAATGCAAAGCGGACGGAGTGAAATATGAAGTAACAATCAAAAATGTCATTCATATACAGATATCAATGTAAAAAATCATTTCTTTTCTTTATACATAGATTGCCGTACACAATACATTGACACATAATTCGCTCACAAAACAAATCACATTTATGCCGTTCTATGTGCTCACCAATAAGGCACCATTTGCAATTCAAGTACAAGAAGAAAAACGTCCAGGCGATCCATGGATTGTCATTGAAACCGATCAAAGTGTTCCATTGTGGCCAAAATCCGATTGTAAACGATTGCATGTTCGAGCCGGTGACGATGAAACGGTGTCAAGACCATTTAAATTCGATGAAGCTCAATGTACTCTGCTTAAGCTCAAAAATCGAGTATGTAGCATACACAAATTGCCATTTCAACAATTTCCCCATATTTGATGACATCATTATTTACTCACTGAAATCTCTTTCTTTTTCTGATTTCTTTTTTTTACTTTCGAATATAGTACGGTGGTATAAATGTTGATGTTCAAGTATCGGAAGGTGGTGTTTATATTCAATTCACGGCATATCATCCGGGCGATGCGCCAGCATTAATCATCAATCATACCGACCAATTGGTAAAGTTCTGGGAAAAGGGAAATGTTAACGAACGTCGATTACAACCATTCGAAAGGATGTTGTATACATGGCAAGATCCAGCCGGTGATCGATTAATTATGTGGGACGATAATGATGGAACAATTGAAAATGATTTGCGTCGGGATGGTTCTAAACCAATACATAGTAATAATGGTGACAGACCATCGTACTGGGTTTCCTTCTTAGATGGAACGCAACGTGTACTATTGTTTACAAACATTGAAGATGTCGCTTTCGGTGCGAACAGTGCCAATCGATTGGATAAGGTAAATTTGAAAAGAAAAAAAAATCACATTATTTGCAAAAGTATGTGTGTATATATGTGTGTTTTTATTTCATTCCGTGTGAATTTTGCATGTGCCAGTAGCTTAGTAATAATTTAGAGTGCTTGATTTTTGCTTTTTTAGATGGGACGTCAGTTAAGAAAACGAGACAAGGTTTTCTTTTAATTTTTTTTTTTTCGCTCAAACTATGCACTTTTTATTCACTTGCACACTTTTTTTACATTTTAATTACAGTTGGAACATTTTTTTATAGAAATTAAATTTATAACTTCCTGTTGCGTTACATTTTCAATTATTTATTTATAATAAAATCAAGTAGATACTTCTATTCAACATTTTACTAATCGAATGTTTCGTTTGCGAATAGGTAACCCAAGAGATTGAAGTTGATATCCATGGTATTGGTTTATCATTGGTCAATAATAACAAGCAATGCGATATAATGTACATTGGAATTGCAAGTTCCGGTGTGATATGGGAAGAGAAAAAGAAAGGAAAATACTTCAAACAAATGAAAATTCAAGAAGTACAAAACCTTGAAGAACGTTTTCAACAGTACTTGCGTAACAAGCAAATGGGCATCGAAGAACACCACTTATACTTTGATGGGGCCGGCAAAATTCCAATTGATTTTGATCATATGATTTTAAGAAAATCACGACCGCGTGAGATCCGACGCACATTCTATCCAGGTTTATGGATTCAATTGAAATCATCACCATATCAATTACAATTACACGCTAAAATCAATCGCATTCAAATCGATAATCAATTGACCGATTGCATTTTCCCAGTTGTATTGGCACCGGTTGCTCCACCAAAAAGTGTTGCCGCCTCAATTGGTATGTATTTGGTCTCTGTATTTTACTTTCAAATTGGAAATACGTTCGATTTTCTTTGAATGCATATGTGATATTGGTTAATGATATCGATTTTAATGCTTCATTTCATTTATAGAGCTCAAACCATTTGTTGAATGTAGCATTGTGCAACGTATCATTCCCCATTCAAACGTAAAACAGTTTAAATATCTCAAAGTGTTGACACAGGAGTTTCATGTTAAGGTCGATTTGTTGTTCATCAATGAAATCGCTGAAATGTTTACGGCTGAATTAACCGACGAAGAAAAGGTAAGATGTTCGTGCCACGTCAATCGAAATTTTATTTGCACGCTACATAAATTATATTTTATTGTTACAATTTTTTTGTGTAGCGAAAGCTGTTCAACAAAGACATACAACAGCACAGTGAACAATTGTCGGCTCTGGTGCTTACACAATCAACTCAGGATCAAAAGAATTTCTACGATCAATTACATTTGGGACCACTGAAAATTCACATTTCATTTTCGATGGCCGGC